GAAGCCTGTTGCCTTTGTACAATAATCATTATTATTGGTTGGAAAAGGAGCAACTATATCCATTATATGCCTAATTTCTGTTTTGTTTCCGCGAATAAATATTAATTTTTGTTGCACCGCCTACATAACCGTGTAATTTTCGTGTGAGTTTACAAGCCAAAAAATGTGCTCACACATATGCGTATACGAAAACGTCGATTTTTCCCCTCTTTTCGTCCCGCCGTTAAGTGTGTTAATTATTTACACTCAGCGTGAATATGTGGCGACGATGGGGCGTTGGACTCGTGATTGTTTTATACATACTATCCGTGTACTGTATTGCTAACGGGGCCTTTGCGATAAGCCATATAAACGTCCAACAAAAATGAAAAAAAATAAATCGTTTGTCCTAGAGACTTGTCGTTATGTGGCAAGGTACATTATAGATTATGACGGCTTATAATAATATATTAATATGTCCTGCGAGTAAATTGTTCTTGAAAATATATAGATGAATAATTGCCAGATGACAACAATTGCAACGAATCTAATGGCACAACCTATTTTAATTATTCGTTTTAAAAAAAAATGTTTAACTACGAACGACTTGTATTACGCTTATATCTGCAATATTATAGTAATCGTTGAGGTTTTTATTTCTTTCCTCCGATTTTCCTCTCAATCGTACCACTCGGTCATTGACGGAGACAGACTTATACGTGAGCACTGATACTGGGTCCGTGTAGTCTGCAGGACACTTTAATAACCTTTTTTAGATTGACCTTTTTTTGGAAAAATATAATATTGCAATATGTTTATCACAGACTACTATACTACATTAGACAAGGAACTCCTATATTATTTATATTGTTATCAGTGAGGCTCACGCAGCAGTTGGCCTACATTTTGCAAAACATTTCATTCTTTATACAAAATTTATTACGAATAATATCGTTTATAATATGGCTAAATGAAATAATAAATATAAAATGATATAGGTGTGTTAAATATTTTTCCTTGTTTTTTAAGCAACAGGTTTAGAAACAATTATATGATACAATACAATACAACATAATTAATATTTACCGTTTAAAAAATACCATATAATGCCAACCGACAACCGGGCTTCAACTGAGAGCTGGAGTTCTCTATCTAGCACTAAGTAGAAATCTGCGATACATGTATGCTAATTCCTCCGAAAAACCGCGAATTCGCTTAACAGATTTCCCTACGCTTCTCGTATAATTCCTTATCAGTGTCCATTCTGATTAATTTATTTCGCGATACAGTGTTTTGATTTCAAAAACCTCTTAATACCGCCGGAAACGGGATAACACTTTGTGCACAAAATATTTAATGCATTTATATAGTGCGCGTTGAAAATTCCTTGGCACTTGTGCGGTGTAATTTATGCGCATTATGATAAACTCGAAAGGGCGATGTTCTCATTCGTCGAACCAAAACGGTAATGACGGTTATTACCTCAACCATTTCTGCAGTGACATGAATTTTCAATCACGAACGCACGTACATCTTTGTCAGCTGAAATCGATAAGATTTCTTTTAACTAATTGTATGTTGCGTGTCACCCGCAGTATTTTCCTGGTCTAAAAATCGTTTTTTATACTATTTTTTTTTACGATTTGATTTTCGATCGGTCAAACGTCAAACTATACTTTTTTTCTCCGACTTCTTCCCAAAGTTTTTCACAACAATGCCCGTCGTTGTAGTCCACAGAAATGTATAGGAGAATAACAAATGTCAAAATTCGACATTAATTTTAATTAGGTAAGTTACCTAACGCTATGTACGGAAAAAAAAATTCAATAGACTTGTACAATCCGAATATTTTCCGAGAAAACGGTTGTTATTATTGCTGACTGTAGTTTGGAAAAATTGAATAACTGATTGAATGATGTATTTACGTTCGTGTTGTGTGAGTTAATATTTTTCGTTTTCAATTAAATTCATCAGTATATTATACCTTTTGTCTAAAAACGCATCATTATTATGTCCATGCATTACCATAATGTAGCTGTACAGTAGCTTAATCATTTTTTCACATATTCCAACTTATGTTTATATCCATGAAATATATATTATTTGCTATACCCATGTTACATATATTATTATAATATTATTCACTTCTACGCGATTTCAGACGGGCTCCAAACGGAATCCCTCCGGGAAACAAGTTGATTTCTTATGCTTTTATTTATTATCTGTTATCAAAAGGGACCTCTTTTTTAGGCACATGTTCTGAATAGTCTTCCATTTTCGCCGATGCCGCAGCGTCGACCTTCGTTTTTTAGAACTTTGGAATCAATCACACTTACCGAGTTGATTTTTATCAATTTATCCCTTGAGAATTCATCCAAAGCCGTTTTTTGTATAAAGGTAGTGAAAATAATAGGGTCATAAGGCGGTAGGCACTGTATACTATATATCTATATTCAAGTGGTTCGGTGTATATTTATTTTCATGTACAAACGACTCGATTATATTAATTTTTCTTTTCGAAGGTCAATTTCTTATTTATTTTATTTTATTTTACGCGTCAATATTAATCTATGTCGGTCTTATCATATTATTAATATTATTATTTCCTCATTTTTTCTTTCGGTCAGTAGGTAAAACGTTACTCGTTCTGTTGTATCGTCGTTTTTCCACTGCTGTTAAACAATTGTGCAATTATTTTTGAAGAACAATAGGTACTCACCAAAGTAAAATTATTGAATATTTTAATTTTCTTCATTGATTTGCTTATTATTTGTTTATTGCATAATATTATTTAAAATCGACTTAACGTGTATGTTTATGTTTTCTGTTTAAATTACCTTTTAATGTCCAAATGTTAATAAAGTGTGTTTCATATCTGATATGCAAATATGTATTGTGTAATACTTATACGAGTATATACCTATTATGTATGATATAATTACATTCTTGTCATTGTGTAAAACAATGAGTATATACTAGGTAAGGTAAATATGATATCTAATCAAATCCGCGTAATTGGTTTTTATGTTAATTAACGACATGGCGAGTGTATTGTGATCAATAAATATAAATTGACTATAAATAGTTTTCGTTTCTATTTTTAATATAATTAATTGAAAATTAAAATGATTATTTGGCAATTTATTTTCTTTAAAAATTGTTTGTTATAGTTTTTCTATCAATAAACACTTCACTTTCTTAAGATCGCAACTCATGTCCATTAAATACGTTTTTAACACTTAAAATTTAAAATGTATATATATATATATATTTATATATCACCAGTTAGATGACATATCAATTACATAAAGTTTATGGAAAATAATTCGTTTCACGTGTGTACAGAATTATCTTTTTATGCGTTGAGTAATGTATGTTTTGGCGGTTATTCAATTAATTCCTTATCATAATATCCTGTATATATTTATTTTTTTATTATAAAATAAACGAAGATTCATTCATTTGGATAAAGAAAGACACATTTATTTACTGGTTAAAAAAATACCACGAAAAATCTATACGGGTACAACACAAGTAAAATGTTTGTAAGGCATCAAATTTTAAATTCGTGAACATACATGTATACCTAAAACAGATTTCAAGACTGTAAATGTTGATTCTCAAAGATTGACTCCAACATGGTCGTTAATTTGCAAAATGCACATAAACATTTCACTGGTATACTAGTGCTGCTATATTTATTTTGGTGTAAATTGGGGACAGATACTTTTTTTTTTAAATAAATTAAAATGTAAAAGAGATTAAGTTAACTTAATTTTTAATAGATACACTTTTTAAACTTCATGTCTTATTTTGACACAAATGTATACTTGTAGTAATCTGAATTATGTATGATCAAAATGGCGAAGGGATTTCTACACTATTATGTATTTTTAAGTATGATTTTTCTGAAATTGTCACCTTTCCTATAAAACACATTTCTGATTAGCCTTAATTATATTATATTTCTGATACTTGCAGACTGTATAATTTATCAAATAGATAACCCGTATCGTTGCTGTTTTTAAAAAGTTACCGACCCATTTGCAAATAACCGTAAAAAGTAAATCTTAGGAGTTCACATCAGAAAATTGTGAACATTAACTGTATTTGGTATCGTAGAGGTTTTGGGATAAAATCTCATAATATTAGTATAAAAGTATGAAAATGTAATAAAATAGTTGTAACCTCTGATGTAGGCCTAGTTTAATACATTTATAACTAACTGACCTTAGCACTATATATCATTGTTATGTTGTTTCCCACCCTCAGTGAAAAAAAAATGTATTGGTAAAACGCCACTAATTCCGTGTAGGTAGATATAGGTACCTATTTATGTTTTGTTTTGATATTATTCGTACCTCGTCACACGCTCAGCTATTCAATTTCCTGCCAGATTTTTCGTTTCGTATTCGAATAAAAATAAATTTACGTACCTTTAACTTTTAAGTGATTTTATAGAATGACCTGATTATTTATAAGTGGCAAACCTTGCAGTGCAGTGTAACGGTCCGTTTAACATCGCTCCCGCAGACTGTTTCCGTGCCACGTATATTACACACGCTATATCGAGACTTCCAATTTGATTTTTCATTCCTATTGCCAATATAATGTAAAATGTTATATTGTTGTTCTCGTGCGGTGAAAAAAAAAACTCGTCACCGTGAGTACACTTTGTTCAATAGGAATCTTCATCTTATTCCACCTCGATGAATATGTCTGTATCCATACCTTGTTATGTGGCGGGTAGCCTCTCTGAATGAAAAAATAATCCTTATTATATTGCCTAAACAAAAAAAAAAACATTCTAATACAATGCAATTTAACGATTTTCGTCATTGAAAGTATAGAGCTGTTATATTTCACGGTCGGCATCATAATATATTATGTGGACGAAATACGAGTATATAAATAATATAATAATATATATTGCAGGTAGGTTAGGATGACATTTTTTATTTGATCTCGCTCAATTTAAACTCACGCATAGTTATATGAATTACTTTAAATTATGTTCACAGGTTGGCGAAACTCGAAGAAACTTTGAAGGATGAAAGCCTGTCGGAGCAACAGAAACAGGAAAAACGGCAGCAACATGCGCAAAAAGAATCTGAATTTCTCAGGCTCAAGAGATCGAGGCTCGGGGTAGAGGATTTTGAACCGTTAAAGGTCATCGGCCGTGGTGCTTTTGGAGAGGTAAGTCATCATTTATTTATTTTATTACTGTTTTTTTTTTACCTTTTTTTTTTTTTTTATTCGGAAGTTGTGTAGTTAATGATATTGTTTATAGTACCAGCAGTCACGGTACATCGAGCCACCATTAGCTATTTGAATCGATAAATTGGTTCCATTCGATTTTAACCCAAATTCGCAATATGTTTTCCTTGTGCGGTGCTATTATTTTAACTAGGTTTTCCATCCGACAAGCTTTTCTATAAATATATTTATTTTTTACATATTATTACCTTCGATTCGTGAATTTTCTCCACTCTATTTAATATATTTAACCATCATGGATGGGCATTACATTATTTTTTGCACCGGTTCCTAATAAACATACATGTACTATAATTTACTGAATTCACAAACTGTTTTAAAAAATCAACTGTTATACGTTGTATTTATAAACCGTTTATAAACATATTTATTAATAATAATGCATTCGTCTATATATTGTATTGAACAAAAACGTGTCTGATATTTTGATCGATGATTTAGATGTTTGCTATAAACAGTATACTTGTCCGTCCTAAACTATATAATTTAGTAATTGATAGTTTGAGGCCAATATTGTTATAAATTATGTATTGTGTTATACGGTTTTCAAGTATTTCGTTGGTATTGATCAATATGTGTAGGACAATTATTGTAGAAACTGATTGGTATTATTACACATAATATAACAGATATATATATATATTATACATGAAATACATAATGGGTGTATGTATACTATAGTACAATAGAAGGCAATGTGATTTAAATTATACTTCTTCTTTGTAATTTATAGTTTTTTTTTTAAAAATAGGAAACATCTAGTCACAGACATTTTTGTCTGACATAGTTTTTTCCTAGTAATAAGAACTAAATAAACATTTTGACTAGGTAACTAGTATTGTTTTTATTTTATTCTGTCGCATTCATACAAATCAAAATCAACATTAATTATAAGACTTATTTATTATTTTTATATTATATTAAATAAATATGTAGTTTCTATTAAAACCTATTTTGAAACCCGGACATGTTGTTACCGACTAATTGGTAATTCCAGAAAGTTGTGCAATGTTTAAAAAATAAATAATAAAATGTATACTTACCGTAGACTAAACAGTAACAATTTATTGACTTAATGTTTATTTTATCCATTTTTTGACTCCAAAACATGGTTAAGAAAAGATAGAAAAATAATGAAAACTTAACTTCTCGCTTTTACTTTCCATTATTATTATACATAAATTCGGTTAGTATAAAAAGTATATAAAAAGTATAAAATTGCATTTAAAAATACGTGTCAATATTAACCTGTATGATTATTTTTTTCCACATTAATACCTCGATACTAAATATTTGATTTGAGTTCATTATGCTCCTAAATGGTTTCTATAATATTTAAGTTCAGAAATGGTTGTACATTATTATATTATTGAAAGGTTACACGTGCTGTCTTTTGTCTAATATTTCGTTTGTTAAAATAGGTATAGAATACATTAGTAGTTAAAACATGGGAAAGACATCTTTGTCTTCTATTATGTGATATATTGCGGCCAGCTGACATAAAATAAATTTAGCAATCGGCTACAAAGATTTCCTAAGACATATGTTACTTTGTATTTTATGTTATTTGTATTTGTACGAAAACACAATGGTTAATGTTTATTATTTGCCTTATTTGGGATATGCAAACTCGCAAATTCGAGACAAACGCGAACAATCTATAGAAAATAGTACATTTTTTGTTTGCTTTGACAACGTATATTTGAAGTCATTTGAATTGGTATATCTAAGTACACATAACACAGTCTATAACTCATTTGACACACATAATATGAGCCTATAAAATTTTTTTGAATGATATGAATTTGCAACAAAATAAGAGTTCCATTTCGATATCAGAAGTTTATTTTTATTTTTTACGTCCGATATACTGGAGTGAATAAAATTTCAGTGAGTGGGAAATATATTCGAATGCTAGAGCATCTTGAATTTGTACGATCTATATTATATAGTGGCAAGACTCATTTTAAAATATATATTAAAATAGTTCAACGATTTAAAACACCTATCGGTGTTAAAAAAAAAGTGGTATTATTTATTATTGCTATAATCTATAATACCTATACGCCTTAAGGGAAAAGTGTACGTTTTTACTACTCAACGACTTATATTCATATACATACAATATGATAATATAGTAATAAAACTTTATCGTATGATATATGTTTATAATTAATATATAGTTAGTTTATTTTGTTGATATTATATAGTTGATCGTTGAGACCTATATGGCCATATTATATCCGTTTATGTGTTTTTAAATACGATTCGAGACGACACATTCGCCTCCTATTTATAATAATAATATATTGCATTCATTTCTAGGTGAGACTGGTTCAGAAGAAAGACACAGGTCACATATACGCCATGAAAATCCTACGCAAAGCAGACATGCTTGAAAAGGAACAAGTGGCGCACGTCCGTGCAGAAAGGGACGTCCTCGTCGAAGCTGATCACCAGTGGGTCGTTAAAATGTACTATAGTTTTCAGGTAACTATTTCCTCCGGTGTTTGCGAATGAATAATTAATTGTACGCCCCAGACCGCTTTGGTGTGGCGACCACGTGGTATATCGACCGCGGTGTGGAAACAAAAAAAAATACGTACAAAGGACCTTTTCAGAAAATATTTATAATAAAACTCAACCCCTTGACTTTTGCCAGGATCCAATAAACCTTTACCTTATAATGGAGTTCCTGCCCGGTGGTGACATGATGACGCTACTCATGAAAAAGGATACACTCAGCGAGGAGTGTACGCAATTTTATATCGCCGAAACTGCGTTGGCTATTGATTCTATACACAAACTCGGATTTATACACAGGTACGAAAGAATATATAAAAACCCGTGCTCAGTCTTGTATATGTAGAAAAAAATTTGAATGTTAAAGAAACGCTTGTACAGTAAATAGTATATAAACCTCTGAATCATAATATTTAGAATCCTAATTAAAGTTTATTTTAATTTTGGAATCGATGCTTAATGTCTTTGATGCTTATTTATTTTTTTTATTTTTTCATTGATCTTAAGCTTCGGCAACTGAGGCCATTAGCTGTAGTAGGATTTGTATTGTAGGTTTGTTTGTATTGTATATTTTGGGACGGTAGGGGGGAACACGTGTGTGTTTGTTTTTGGCAGAATTTCGAATGGGGCACCCGTAGGTTTCTGCCATGCCCCGGGGGTGGGGGATGGCAGCACTTGTTCTCCGGTCACCGCGACTTGTCCGGAGAAAAATGCCGCCCGGTAGCCGAGGATCGAACCGCGACCGGCTGCGTCGCAGCGGACGCGTCAGACCACTCGGTCACCTCATCCCCCGCTTATTTATTCTTTTGCATTTGTTTTAATATTTCAAATTTTAGTCTTCAAATACATTCTATACTGTTAGTTGATACAATGTATACCATACAAGACTTTGCGTGGCATTCGTATCGTATTATATAACGCTGTACGAGTGTAGTAATATCGTTTTATTTCTTTCCAACCCTTACAGGGATATCAAACCCGACAATCTACTACTAGACGCCAGGGGCCACATAAAGCTGTCGGACTTCGGACTGTGCACCGGCCTGAAAAAGTCGCACCGGACGGATTTCTACAGAGACCTGAGCCAGGCCAAACCGTCGGATTTCAGTGAGTGTTTACCGTCGGAAAAGTCAACGGCATGCCCAACTTATATGTAGGTTTTTTCTGTTCGCCAGCATCGAGTCCGATGGACAGCAAACGGCGTGCGGAGAGCTGGAAGAGAAATCGCCGGGCGCTGGCCTACAGCACCGTCGGCACGCCGGATTACATTGCGCCCGAAGTATTCCTCCAGACCGGTTACGGTCCTGCTTGTGATTGGTGGAGCGTCGGTGTCATCATGTACGAAATGCTAATCGGTGAGGAATTCGTGCCTATAGTTTTCATTCGTATTTTTAGTGTTTGTTCGGCTTTATTCTGCGTATAGAGAGTATAGACCATAATACTACAATAATAATAATAATAATAATAATATCTTCTTTATCCGTGTAAATAATATTGTTTTCCATTTATTTATCGTCCTGAAAACGTTCACGTTGGCATTCGCCTATAACACTGTATAACGGTTTTAGGTTTTTTTTTTATAGTTTTTTATGGTTTTTTTTATTTTTATTTTGATTTTAATCTATTGAATAAGCTATCGTTATATTATGGTAGCTGCATCATAAAGTCTTACGACATAGTTAATTTGAGGTTTTTGTGTAAAAATCATGTTTCAATGTTCGTATTTTATATAATTAATTCCAAATTTTCACGTTTTTAAGTTGTTATTGAACCTTGTTTGTTGTAGTCATTCATTTTCTTTTTTTACTCGTGTTTTATACCGATCATAATATGAGATTTATGACTGTAATATTTTCACCTATTTTATATTCAATCAGCTTAAAAGATATTTTAATGCTTTCAAAACAAACAAAGTGTACCATAAAGCATTACTCATACAGTATTATTGAAACAGTGGAATATTTTATATCTTTGATTAATTTTTTTTTCTTCAAACCGTGACTTTAGATTCTATTCATTAAGCTAACTCTTCTCTCTTGTACCCACATCATTTAATATATGTATTTTTCATATTGCCATCCACCTTCAAAATTGTACATGGTAGAAACAATCGTGTGTGTATGTGTCCGTCACATGCATAATGAAACGAAACTAACGTTTGAAACAATTACTGAGAGCGATTATAATTAATAAAATACGCAGTGCAGAGTCCCTTTATTGTAATCACGTGCCACGTTTGTTTAAAGAAGATATTTGCGTGAATATAAAACGTGATCAATACTTTAAATATAGCGTTTTCAGCAGTGTACATCAAATACCTTTTGAATCCAATGTGTGCGTGTCACTTGAATTTTTTTCCAAAACCTTTTTCGTGATTGAACTAGACACTGTTAAAAAGATCGGGACTAGAGAGGTTCCGAACAGCAACAGCAGTTCACATATATCATTATGCAGTATTGCAATTACACTTAATTTATGTGGAGATTTGAATAACATTTTATACAGAGACACAAAATAAACAGCTAGCGATAATTATTATAATAATTACCACCTATATAATACATTATAGTGCGTTTCGCAACAACTGCGACTCGACGTTAAATCGCCCCGCGGTGGTTTTGTCTCAAATCAGGGGTCTTCAACCTAGGATAGAAAATAAAAAGCTCGTGTTTTTTCAAAACAAATTGTAAGATCTGCCGGGTATATTTATTTTATGTGAGCAGATGTGATCTCTACCGACCTCAACCGACTGATGTATGTAATTTTAAAAAGTGTAAAACATTCGTTATCAATTTTAAATTTACCGCGCATTGCATTATTACTCGCTAGTTGTAGAAACCCTGATGGAAAAACACCACGGGGAGTGTTAACGTCGAGTCGCAGTTGTCGTGAAACGCACTGTAAAATACAATTATTGGCCATATGCCGTATCGCTAATCGGCGTCATTCGTTCGCAGGGTACCCACCGTTCTGCAGTGAAAATCCTCAGGAGACGTACAGGAAGGTTATGAACTGGCGGGAGACGCTGAGCTTCCCAGCCGAGGTGCCCATCAGCGAGGAGGCTCGCGACGCCATCACCCGATTCTGTTGCGAATCGGACCGCCGTCTCGGCTACAGCGGCCGCGGCATCGACGACCTCCGGTCAACGATAGCGTTCTTCCGCGGCGTCGACTGGGAGCACATCAGAGAACGGCCGGCCGCCATACCCGTCCAAGTCAAGTCCATCGACGACACGTCCAACTTCGACGACTTCCCGGACGTCAAGCTCGAAATACGTGAGTATATTAAACCCACCGACGACGTGGCGTCGCGTGTTCCGATCTTACTAATCCGTTCATTTCCCGTGTGTTCTCTTCCAGCGTCGGCACCGATATCGCAAGACGGCGAAGTGATCTACAAAGACTGGGTGTTCATCAACTACACGTTTAAGCGGTTCGAGGGGCTCACTCAGCGGGGCATAGCTACCAAAAAGTGATTTTAAACATCGTTAACGATAGTGCAATGTGATATTTTTATCTAACCTCCTACGCTTTCCTCCAAACAACCGCCCCTGTACTCCTCCTCCACCCCACCCCCTCCGCCCCTCTCAACACCCTACCCAATCCACTTCAACCCACACCCCACGAATCCTCCACACCATCCCTATCACCATTAGTTGGCATGCAGAATTTATGATCTCAAGAAGAAAAGTGTTGTTTTCTTCTCAGCGATGAAAAAAAAACCAACTGAAGATTCCAAAGACCAAATGTTTTTTTTTTTTAAACACATATATATAAATATATATATATATATGATAACCTGTGCGATCGATGATGATGCATAGTTGTTATCCAATAACCGTCTCACATGTATATTCAAAACAAATCGATTTATTGTGTAGCGTTCAGTTCGAATGTTCTTAATGTTATGTTACTTGATATTATTTTTGCACCCTAAAATTATCTCTTAAGCTTCATCTAGTCAACTCCTTCTTTTTTTTTCTCTCGAACAATTCGAAATTTTAAACCATATACACGTTAGGTGATATTATCTTATTCATCGAAACACTTTCGGCATATTACAACCTCGGCAAAAATAAAAATAAACAAATGATATTAATATTAATTAATGTGAGATAGGTGAGACAAGACGTTATAGCGTGTACATATTATGTTGGTATATATATACCGTTCACACAATACCATACAACTAAAATGATAACCGTGAGTTGTGCTTATATATTGTATGTATATGTATATATATATGTATAGTGTTATACTATTCATGTACATAGTCTGGTGCACTGGCCGCTGGTGCTCAGGCGCGGTCATTCCACAACCACCTGCGGGGAATACGAACGTCTATAAATATTGTCCTAGTGCACATCATCGTTCGAAGGGACGTTCCGGACAATATATTATATTATATATATATTTTAGTAAAAACCGTCCGAGTCTTGCCCTTTGACGAGTATAAACAAAACATTTTTTTTTTTTAAAGTTGATTATTACGCACTTTTAGCATGTTCCTATAAACTATAGGTAGTGGTAGCCAATGAATAATTAATTAATAATCGGACAACAAGGCCGAATGCGATTGACCCCGGGACAGGTTAGACTTAAGATTTGTTTTGATTATTATTAATTTCTCGATCTGAATTTTGTTTGTTTACGCGTAGACGTTAGTTTTAACAGTTGTGATATTCGCAAAGTTAATTATTATTGTTTGTTCGTAATTTTTTTTATGATTATTATTATTATTATTACTACTATTAATTAATTATTATTATTATTATTATTATTATTATTATTATTACTACTACGAACATGACGCTGTTTATCGTTTTTTAAGTAGCGGTTTTATATTATATTCGTAAAACCGTTGTCTTCTCAATACTCCGCATTAGACCAGTATCTGATTAGAGTCAAAAGCTGTCATATTATATATAAATAAATATATTATATTTTTCAGTACCTATGTAAATTTCAATTTTAAAGCGTGTATATTTTTTTCACTTATTATTTTTATTTATTGTTTTTTCTGTTCTCGAAATGTCGTTAAATGTTTTTTTTTCTGTGTGTAAATATGAATGGAAACGCTTGCCGCCAATGTTCAATTAAACACCATCATTTATGTCGTGTGATACTCCCCGATTGAAATGTACTATTATTTGGACTGCGTGAGGCGTTAATTGATAAATTTCGATGTATTTTAGTTAAATATTAATTTAATAATAATAAAAAAATAAACAAACAAAAAAAATGTCTAAAATTCAATGTATATTACTATATGATGTTATAATTTAAAACATTACCTATGTTATGTGTATTGTCGAATAGTACAAAAATTAGACGTACTGTTACCTCCCGCCACCACTACTGATTGAATGACGCCCGATTCAAATTCCCGAAAATATAAAGTACATATATTATAAGATTTTCAAAAAAGAAATTTGAATGTATTGATACGTATCGGTTGAATATTGAGCGTTCGAGAAATTAAAAAATATACGATTTACCTGTGACACTGGCCAGGACCTTGTACATACGTATCGAATTTTTTTCTTGAAAATCTTGATAATATTATCTATTTTTACGTACCTATCATTTGTATCTTGGACAGAGTTATGGCCACGTTGCCATAGTAATGTATGTTACTGCCTCGTGTCGACACTGTTCTCACTGTTTGATAATGTGTGTTTGGTTACCTGCAAGTGCTTGTAAACGAAACGAAATAAACTGAACAATTTATTTTTAAGTATTTAAATATACCTAATATAAACGTATATAACGATACTATATTAATTGCCGTTGTATATTTACTGTTTACCTTATTTTATTTTTCCTCGTTCCCTCTGCAATGAACAAAAAAAACAAGTCGGCAAGTTGGTAACCGCTATTTTATTTAATACCGAACTTTGTAAACCGTTATTGTAAGTTGTAGACTTGTAACATTGTACACCCTATTCGCTGTCAAGTCTTAAACAATTTATTGTTACATAAATGTGTGTACGATACATGGATAAGTACACATCTGTATAATATGTACTTATAATAATATTACTTTAGGTTAATCAAGCGCACCTCTTTCATAGGTATTTAAAAAACAGCGGCCAAATAGGAAACTGCACTGATGTACAGTAAGTCAGTAACGTTGGAGTGTACCTCGTCATGAGTAGGTTACTGTGAACTGTAATGAATGTGTTAAATTTCAAATTTAATTTAATAATAAATCGTTGGGTACGAAAAACGATTCTGAGCTCAGACTTCAATCCACATTATTGACTATACGCATATTATTATCATACCTAGTAATTTAATTTTATAATTAGTAGTACGGCATAGGTTGAATTAATGTTTGCGAAATTATCGCATTTATTTTATTATATATAATGATAATAAAATATATATATATTTTATAATGGACATATCCTATTATATTATTGATGTTAACTTTCGAGTTAATATACTGACTTGCCGTGGATTGGTGTAAATAGACAAAAATAAGAAATCAAACTAAATATCTTGAAAATGTCATTGTGTATATATGGTGTAAAATATAATAACGTACTTAAAAGTATAAAACCCCTATACTAAAAAAATTTTTGAATTATAACAAAAAAAAATTAAAATTGTTTGAAGAGATCTTTATTTTACTCCCGAAAATCAAGGTTAGTTTACAAACTAGTTACATATACATAAATAGAAAATTCAAATCTAAATATTTGGTATCAATTTAAAGTAACGTAAACATTATTTCCTTTTCCTCTAATTTTTTTTATCGTTTTTCCAGAGCATCATTAAAAGTGCCCATACTGTGAGTTGTTTATTTTTGTTTCTCCCAAAGTCAAATAATTATAGCAATAATACATAACATACGAGTAGTTGGTATAATAGGGTTTATGCAATGATATTATGATATATTTTACACCCGCAAGTGCCTGTATAGGTACAAGGTTTTTAGTTGAAAAACATGTCATCATTGTCATTTCAACTCAATAATAAAATATTTGTGCTATAAAAGTCGTCTATATGCATTACCGCTTTTGAAGTAAACTATTATTCAACGAAAATTAAAACAATGCAATACTTTAAATCTACTCGTGTGTAAAAAAGAATTCAATGGGCATCCCGTTAGCTCTAAAAGCATATATACACATGCATACATTTGTATATATAGCACTGTTTTAATTCATTTATCCTTTAATTAAAAGTAGATATAAATCGTGTATTTGTTTAACTGTGTTGGTGTGTATATCGATGTTTAATAATTTTAATGAAAAAACTTTTTACCCAATCCAACAAATTTAATATAAATCAACATAATATCTACTATTGCCCTATTTGCTATTGCACATTATCGTTTATCTAAAATGCGAACGACTGCAACGTTGCAACGTTTTTTACACAACAGTATTTTTTGTCGGACTATCAAACTGAAATGTCAATTGATGATAAAAAAAAAATGTCTGACTTTTTTTGTTGAGACAAATCGATCGACCCATATACCTGCCTATATGGTCTGTATATATACACTCGTATGCTCGTATTATATATAATATTTTATTTCCAAAATGTCCATCGAATACTTCAATACCTTTGGGTACCTATACCGATATTACTGATTTATATTAAATTATAAACATATTACTCATTATGGGTACCTATACCGATATTACTGATTTATATTAAATTATAAACATATTACTCATTATGGGTACCTATACCGATATTACTGATTTATATTAAATTTGTAAACATATTACTCATTAATAATATGTAAATCGTACAAATTTAGTAAAATGCTCGAAAACATGCGACACCCGTTTTCGTACTTCGATTGCAACTGTATCGCGAAACGAATTCGTATAGGATCTGATTAAATTTTGAATATGCCGCTTCCTATATGAGAAATATGCAAACACGTGAAGTCCCGATCCTTGCTGATTACTATAACCTTTTAGATTCTGAACGAATCGGTTAATGTATTGATTTTACAATGATGTGTGTTTTTTTGTGCCGGAAATCACCTTTTATAAATATCAAAAATGCTCCGATTTGAAACTTTCAAAGTGGTTTCTGTGTGTAGCAAATTGTATCCATCTAGTTGGTACTTTGAGGAGTCAAAAGTAAAAAATTCACAGTACTTTCCAAAATAATCAGGAATTACAAATGAAAACCTCGGTTGCCAAAAAGTTAAATACTATTACTATACGCATTGAGTAGCTTTTCATTTCACACGAATTTAACACGTCTATTATAGTGACCTACTAAATGACTATAAGTACACTCGACACCTTATGTACAGTACCTACCTACAGCAGAGGTGTTACCTACTTGACGGCATTTTTTTACATCGCATATAGATGTAAGTACAGGATAAAAAAACTAAGCCAAGCAGTGAATTAATAACGATTGTAAATTAAATTATAAATTCTGAGAGTCGAAATTTAGTAAATAGGGCAAGTCTGGTATACAGTATAGTTCGAGTGTAGTATTCGTCATTGACTATATAGAACACTGTAATAGATATGGCAACTTACTTTTAAATCAATCCGATTAATCATTGTGTATATATGGTCTATAAAACTGAATTTTACTGTTGTGTCTCTGATATTTTATAATTCATTTATTTTTATTTTAGAATTTCGAATTTTCGTAAGTATAATTAAGTACCTAGTTTGGGCTAGTGTAGCAACGAAAAAAGAACATTTAATATTATATTGTATGTTATTAATATTAACTAGCTTCGAAATATCGACAATCGACATACCGTAGAACGTTCAATTATGATGAACAAAGAAAGCCTCGAAAAAGCGATCAAATGATCCACGTTATCGTTGGTTTTTATCATAAAACTGTTACAGGTATTAATGATTGGTCTCTGTTGAAAATTGTTAACTCAACTTGTTCAATATTGAGCAAGTACCAATTGGTACAGTGTCGCAAGTAGGCGCGCTGCAGTTATTAAAATATTATAATAATTACATTAAGTAAGTGATGTTTATATCAATAACTGGCCATGATATCCAACTGGAAAGATGGCAACATAATAAATAATATTAATTTCCGGTGCAATTTCTTGTTTTTACACAAACTTCAAGGATGGCTTGCGCATTTTTTTTTTAAAGCAGTATAAATATGGGTGCACATGAAATAATAAGTCTTATTGTAGGTAAGTCGTCGTATTCGCTGTTGAATGTTTCAAAATATACGGTTCTGATGCTAACGATATTTTCGATACTTGTGTGGACTTTTTGAACTATTTTATTCAATTGTGCATGGACTTAAATCAAAACAGTTTATTATAAGTAATCGGAGAGTGAAACATTTTTAAGTTAATTTATTCCTTCAGCTCAAGGCGATAGTTCGAGCGCGATCATGCAATCATTGAACTTGGACAACTTTCCATTCATCTTCATCTCGTTGTCATATATTGTATTTTTTAACACGTGTGATTATGTCACGTGTCTGGATACTGTAAGTAGAGACTAATGTTCGAATGTCAAGTTTAATGTTTAAACTCGTATTTCAACGTACTGTAACGTCACGGTGCATTAACATTAACATAATATATAAATTATATTAAGCATAATAATTTATTTTTAACCGAATAATTCAATCGGTGTTATAATTGTTTGGTGATAATGATTTCGTCAACAAAACGTGTGTAAAACAGTTAGAACATAATTGTTCATTTGCAACTTTCCACTGGTCCGATGTCACAAGGAGGCTATTTTCTGGATATGCATTTTTTTGTCATTATTTATTGACATTTTATTTTGATAGTCTAAAAAAAATAGCCTAGATATTCTAGGTGTATTGTAAATAACATATGTCTTACTGCAATGGCGTATCGATAAAAACTATTTTAATCATGTTAAAATTGCAAGTATCTGTAGCAGTATACCCTGATTTTTCGCTTATGCAATTTATTCTTCTTCTAGGCCTTGCTCATAACGTAATATTTCAAAAATGTTTGCACAACACTACATAAGTTTTTGACAAAATCGAATTTGTTTTTGAAGCGACAGCGGACCGCTTAACGCATTTAGAGCTCAACGTTAAACGTAAATACGTAAATTAAATTAGTATTATTTTTTTATTTATGCTATATTTATATACCTACATACATTATACGGTCGTTATTGTATATTTATGTAAAATATTTTAATTCCAATCGTAGTTAAACTTTAATTGAAGTATATTCACTTCTATCGTGTATATAGTTGTATCTATACTGACACACACGTGTTTTTTTGTGTAACTCAAAAACAAATATCAATAATTACTTGAAATGTTCACTTGGAGATGTATGAATTAGTATTTTCAAAATATTTTGATTCTTTTTAACCTATTTATAGACATTTTAAATTTTCGATTTTTCGGTTAGTATCTACCTAGTAATTTCTTTTATTAATTAATAATTATCGCCTGATCAAAAAACTTAAAAATTGAAAAGAAGTTTTTTCATTAATAAATTGTTTATAAATCTTTTTTTTAAATTATTACAATTTATAAACTCATTTATATAGATTTTAAGTTTTAATTTTGATGAAATTCGACCAAATTTTGTCTATCTGTCTATTATTTAGTGTTTGGTAGGTTATTTAGTGTTAAAAATAAATAAACTGTAGGTACTTAAAGATTTATTAAATTATATGATATAAATTGATTCAAATCATTAGACGATTTGGTCGTTTTTTATAAATATTTATATTTATTTTAACCATGAATTTAATGCCAGAAGGCCGTTTACCTGCCATTATGCGGCTTTTATTAACTTCATTATCAAGAAATATTTAAAATTATTTCAGTACAACAAAGCGATATTTATTTTCATTATGGCCTATGGGGTTTTTATATCGAATATTATCAATGTCATTATCAAAAAATATTTATAATTATTTTAGTGCAATAGCCAATAAGGCTATAATTCATTGTGCAGCGCACGGTAGTGATGTCAACTATTAAAAGGGGCCCTAGCCCATTTGCGCCAAAAGAATTTAATTTGTCTTGGGTATAGTCATTTGCGCTAAAATAAAAAAGATATGTTTTTTCAGACATCCCATTTGCGCCAAATTTACCTACGTAAACATTTTAAATTGTAGATTTCGTTAATTCTTATATATTAAAGACGTCATGTCTGTAACTCATGGTAAAAAATATTTAAGTACTATTAACTATTATCACTTATTTGTTATAAATTCAGTAAACCCATTAAAAGTATATTGAAAAGACCACATTTCGTTTTGCTTCATTATTGTTATCAACTATACATACTTATCAATCTGGTTCAGTAGGTACAATAAGTTGATTTCAATAATAGAAAATGTAACGAAAATTACAAAGATGAAGCCACTCTAAAAAAGAGAAAACATACAAATTCATTGAGGACACCAAAAACTTAAAATTGAAAATTTTCGATACATATGGTGTGTTTAACGATAAAGGTAGATAACACGAAATATTTCGAACCCATGACCTTGAATTTTATTTGGGTTTTCTTACTGCTTGAATGACTTGATATCCACTTTGTTTTTGAATGTAATTTAATTTTTTAAAAAAAATTGGTGCATGCTCAACCAAACAAATTTTTTTTAAACATCTTTGATTGAAACGGTTTTTTTCTATCTCAAAAATCGACTTACTGTGAGAGTGAGCCAAAGTTTTGATTTATGCATGTTGAATTTATCATACTTGTTAACACTGTATAATCCGATGACTGATGTATAAATATCATAAAACATACTTAGTTAATATCGCTTAGAATAGTTTTTCGTAGATTTATGCGGTGATTTAAAATTCAATTCAATTTCTACATAATATGTATGCAAATATTGCCGTGACTTACTCGATGACGAGGTACATTCGACACCTACTGTCCATCAGAGAGGTGACCAACTTTTTTATTTATTAATAATCCTGGCGTACGTGTCTTAATTATCTAATTTTTCCTGCACCACGAGTGAGTCACGACATTAAACTTCCTTATTCTAGCTGTGGGCGGATCAGCTCACGAATTCCTCCTGAAGATGTGTAGGTAGGTAGGTGTTATTGTTTTCTATAGTTTGGATTTTTTTTTTATTACATTGAACCGAATTTTCACATCAAATCAAAATAGAGAAGAAAACGACACTTTAAATACCAGCTGTCCTGGAGCGTACCAGAATTATCAGCAAAGAAAAAAATGTTACAAATACACCATTGAAAATAATTTCAATGAAAAGTAAAAATGTTATTGCATGGACGGTTATCAATGAATAAATTGTTTCTTCTCGATGAAAATGAATGGTGGTACCAATATATAATTGCAAAATAATGCACAATACCTATAATATTATGTAGGTACCTATGTGGTTGAACATATAGCTTATTAATTGTTTGTAGTTAAAATTACTGTGAATAAAGTGCATTTCAAAACAAAAATAAATAAATAAATGTTGTAAAATAAGATACTAATTTTTCCTGCAAAACATAATATTATGCCATTACATTCATTTTCAAATTAATTAATTAATTACCAGGGTCTCATAAAACTATAAACGAAACTTTTTTAATAGTTAATCATTTGTATAGAGAAAAAAATTATAATTCAATAAATATATTTTTTACAAATATTAAAATATGTCTCAGTGGTACATAATTATATATCCCCTCTCAGAATTCATCATCGGATTGTGTTAAGAACGCTTCGCGATGTTTTCTTGTTAAACAGGTTTATTTTTCATGCATTAAACCCAATACGAAAACCATTCGACAGCTCGGAACATTATTGTGGTAAATTCGATAATATGTATCACAGTCTCACGATAAAAGTTCATAAGACTTGATCATAAAATAATATATAATTACCGAATTTAATCCCTTTTGAAACAAAAGGGGTACCTACTTATTGTCCATATAATACACACACGTTTTGTTGTAGAATCATAAAAATTTTATAATTATTATTTAAATTAAGTAGTTATAAACGTCTAACTTTATTTATAACCTAAATTGTTGTTTTAAAGTCGCAAAAAATTAAAGAATTCGGATATCCGTTGGAGACACATGAAGTGTGGACAGACGATAGGGCTCATTTGGGCTTAGAACGAATACCGCATAATGGCAACAAAGTTATTGGAAGACCAGTTCTTTTATTGCACGGAATATTTGCAGATTCATTTCTATACGTAGTTAACAACTCGTCACTTGGTAAGTAACTTTATTTTTGATTGTTTTTATGGTTGACCGAAATAATAATTTGTTTTCCTTTTAAATGTCACTACTATTAAAAAAAACATCAAAAACAACTATTGCAACGCTTTTTAATATTTTATAGAGTAGAATATTGTCTACAGCGATATTTAGGGCCCAGATTTATATTTAAATATCTATATATTTTCACGGTGAAAATTGATACATTATTCTAGGCTAGACAGTTTGTTTCACATTATTTTCACTCATTTTAAACTTAATTTCCCAATAATTACGTATTTTCTCACATATTTAAACAATTTTCACAATTTAGCCTTATAGATAACTAAGATTAATTATTATAACTGTCAACTTATTTCAAGGTACCTACTTATCGGCTGAAATACAAATTTTAAAATTAAATTATTGTTTTATTTTTTAATGACAAAAATATATTCATTTTTAATAGATCAATGTATTTTTAAATTTTTAAGATACTGCGATGTACCGTAATTTAATAGAAATTTTCAATTTAGGTACATGTCCTTTAACGCCATGTATTTATTAAACAAATAATATTATTACCTATTATATTACATATTTTGATATTTTTAGCACATAATTTGGTTGAATAAATATATATAAATGTATTTATGTATAAACCTATAGGTATTGTAAGGGCATTAAAATTTTAAATAGCACTGATATTTCATGGTAAAGTATAACTATAGGAGTAAGTACCTACAACTCACTTAACCCTGTTAGAACTATGTTGTTTACATTACTTTGTTGATCGCATTTTCCCGGGTGGAAGACTGTAGTATACCTATACCTACCCATTTTCTCGTGAAGTTATTACTACTAATTAGTTATTAGTTCATTGCACTCAAGGCTTACAATAGGCTTAAACCAAAAATACACCGAGTGCCTTATATTTTGTTAATTTTTTTTCCAGACAAATTCGGGTAATACGGTCAATTCTAAACCTAATTTTAATAATCATATTGTGTTATATTTTGTGAACTACATCGTTTGGTTATCCATACTATCTCGTTATCAATCAAAGTGGTGGGAGGGGGAGGCACTCTTAAGCCGGACACGTCATAATCCTGCTGGTGTCCAAGTAAAATTCTGCCAAACAGGCGACCAAACTAGGACTCGAGTCATAAAATTGTCCAACGGAAAAACAGTAGTGGGGATAATCTTTATATTTGTGATTTCTGGTAACAAACAATTTTTTTTGAATTCAAACAACAACTTCTGCTCATTGCCTATACACACTATACATAAATGAAGTAGGCGGAATGTAATATAATGTCTCCACCGAACAAATATTTAATACAGCTCGAATGCCTCCAATTACATTTGGCTAACAATTAACTCATTGATGTTACTTTTATGATAAAAAATGACAATACAATATTAGGAACTGGCGGACTTTACGGTACCTACATAATAATAATATCTTAGTCTACTCGACAATGTGTTTATGTACGACACATGTACTTCACTAATAATAATTCATCATTGTATTCTCATATTATATTACCATAGTAGAAGATTATAGAACAATGTGAATTGTTTGACTTCAGGTTTCGTACTGTCGGATGCCGGTTTTGACGTTTGGTTGTACAATTCCAGAGGTGCGGGTCTTTCAAGAACACTCAGCATTTATAAGGGACCTGGATCACTCCCAAACATGAATAGAGTGTCGTGGAATTTTAGGTGGGTACCTAACAGATTTTGTGTATTATTTAACACTGAAATTATTACGATACTTTTGTTTATTTGTTTTTTATTAATTATAAACCTTGAAATTGAAGCTTAGCAGATTGTTCACTGTTAATTTGAATATTAGATCCTTGGATGGGTTTGATCAGTAACCACCGTTCACTTTTCAAATCAGCATTAAATAAAAAAAAATAATGTATGTATGGGTACTTACCCTTGGTTTGTAATTTGTAAAGAGACTTATAGGTAATGATATAAAATATATATTTTCTGCTTTGCTCTTAGCTTTCAAACGTAAAGACATTCCGGTTAACTTTTCAAAAGTTCTTACTTCTCTCTGCTGATGATTTCAGTTTCGCTTTCTAATAAATCTTTCAAACTTGTCAAATTATACAGTGAAACAGACTCGATTTATTAACAAAATTTTTGTGTACAAAATAGTTTGTCGCTAAACGACAGAAAAGTTTTCAACGCAGAATATGCGTCCTTACTTTATTATTTGTGTAGCCGTGATGGAAAACCGTCAAAACGGAAAAAACCTACTTAAAGATTAGACATTTTTTAAAGGTACAAAATGAAAAAAATAACAATTTTTGAATTTATTATACGTAGATATTACTCATAGGTATGAATTTTCAAAAGCCGAAGCTTTACTTCTAGTTTTCTGGTTCGTGTTATTTACTTCAGACTACTTCTCAGTTGTTTGGTCAATATGTGCTAAAAATTCAACGATGTTATTAAAAGTTATCAACAGTTATTTTGTTCAAATATTATACTGAACAACTATTTGACTTCCACAGACATTAATTATACATTTTATTGCGTTGAATGCGTCCCTTATATTTACCAGTACCTGATTTACACATCCCTACTACATTTTTTTTTTTATATTTTCAAGCAGTTTCAATTAGTTTTTTTAGTGAACATTTTGCATAAACTTGAATATTTAAGCCCGCGTAAACTATAAATCGTTCCTGGTAATTTGTGTATGATTTCTGTAAATTCCCAAGAATTCCTGCATACGAGTATGTCCCCGGAAAATTGACTATCTCCAGGCCTTGACGTCCTCTTAATTTTAAATCAACGATTAAATAGATATATGCATTCGATAAACAACATACGTGTATCTTTTTATCTCTACCAACTAATATTATTGTATGCTTTTTTACAATTGAGCATATACATAATTATAATGAATAATTATTTCAGATACAATGATCTACCTACATAATAACCTTATGCTAATACTACAACGCACGAACATTGAACATTATTATAAATCCCACTATCCCAGGTGATTGAAAATGTGTTTTCTTGTTTTATGTTTTAGTTTTCACGAACTTGGCGTGTACGATTTGCCTGCAGTTATAGATTTCATTCTGAAAATAACGGAATATTCTAAACTGGACGTTGTTGGGTACTCCTTAGGAGCAACTGTATCCTTCGCTTGCTTGTCCGATAAGCCTGAATACAACGACAAGATCAACAAACTTGCACTCATAGCCCCAGCGACAAATTTTGCAACATCGCCAGTCGCTGCTGTTGTTAAGCAATTTTCAGAAATTTTATTGGTAATTTAATAATATTTTTGTTATAATACGAATTAAAACCCATGTGGAACATATTTTCCTCTCGAAAAGCCGCAACGCTATTGCTGTACTATAGGAGTATGTACGATATTCCGAGAGCTTAAGAATGTGGTCGGACTATTTTTTACTTGTTGCTTGTTAATAATATACTCTATAATATGATTATATAATCACACAGCGTATAGTGTATACCTAACTGCAGGAAGAACTGACAAATAAAATAACTTTTGTTCTAATGAATATTTTTTAAAACTTTTTTTGTATATTATATATAATTTATTAACTTTTGCGTCACACGAAGAACATGGTATTTTTTATTTTCATTTTTCATACAGAAAATACCTATTTAAAAACTCATAAAATATTTTTTTTTAAGTTATACTTTTTGAATTTAAAATGTTTTTTTTATGACATGAGAATATATTTTACTTAACAAAAATAATGAAACTGTAAAAAAACTATATGACTTAAATAAATATTTTTACAGAACATTTTTTTTTAAAAACCAAATTGAGATACATATATGTGCTAATATGAATTTTCAAAATATATTTGTATCAGATTTAAGTTGTTTATTTTCTATGTTAAAAAATATTAAAATATTGGTGAAACACAAGCGTCTGTAAATGATATAAACAAAATAATTAAAAAATATTGATTAAAACGAGTCATTTCATTTGTCAGGTTTCCATGTACATCAAAAAACTACGTCCTATACAGGCTACAGTTTTTAATGTCACCAAAGTTGAATTTAAATTTTTTAAATGTAGAATTTACTATATCATGTATAAAAAGCTATATTAAGAACCAATCGTAAATAATAAAAACATTAAAAAATGTGATAACTAAATAAAATCCAATGAAATTTTTAGTCAATAATAAATTTAATAAATTATTATTATTTAGCTTAAATATTTGTATTTTCATTTTTAAGGTCATGTTGAATGGATTGGATTTCATTCCATTTACCGTGGATCCAGACGATACGTATCGTAAATTAAGAAACATGTGTGCAAATGAAGGCATCACAATGAGTTGTAAGAGGTTTATCGATGTATTGGACGAATCCGACTTACCAATTGACAATGTATGTAACACTTTATAAGATAAATGTTTAAAGTGCTGCTTCTAATACCACCAAACAATTACTGAGCAATTGAGCTAATTAAGGACACAATTCGTCCAAACTGTTTTTAATGTTGAGAAATGTTAAAGCTCCAATAAAAACATTCACTTGAACTTAATTTAAAAATGTATTTCATATCAAAATAAAGCTACACATATATTGTTTGTTTGGTTAACATCAATTGTTTGTTCAAAAGTTCAAAAATCTTTAAACTTCTTAACTTAGAATAACATAAAGCATGGGGTAGGTTAGATTTCTTCAGTCATCTCGGATAAACTTCTTACTCTGTAAACAACTAACTCTCACCACAAGGTATTTCATCGCATTTTAAGTATGGTAAAACTTAATAAATAAAATATTTAAAATATCCTTTGAGCTAAAGTTTCTCAGCTAAAAATATTTCAATAACATAACCAAATAAACAATCCAAAAAAATGTCTAAAGTTTATTTTAATTTTGGTCTATTATTTGTCTTAGCACTAAGAAAATATTTTGAAAATAATTGTTTCAAATATGTTTTATGTTTAGAACACCGTCTTGGACATTTTTTCTGTATTTCCACAACCAGTGTCATCTAAATTGTTGAAACATTACTTTCAAGTAGTAATGAAAGGCAAGTACACAATAAGAAAACGGTTTCAAAACGTTAAGTTAATTACCAAAGCTAACAAAAACTAGTTATGTCGTGTTCACTGCAGTGGCGTACCAATTGGATTCCAATAGGGTACCCATAAATAGGCCCTAAAAGGTAGGGAAGGGCCCTTAAAAAAATGTGGCGATTTGAAAAAAAAACAGATTATCGTTATTACAGAATTTTCGTTCTTAATAAAACTAAGTTCTAGTAAAATTAAATCACTTTAAAGTAAAATAAATGTAATAACTAGAAAAATGACTGATACACGCAGCACGCTCATAAATCGATAATAGATTATATTTTTATGTGCAGCGTTTGCCCGCATACGCTCGGCGACTGCGATATTACTATATTAGTATAGATAATATATAAATATAATAATTATTCTGGAACAGAAATAACAAGAAAACGCACTCTATATTTAGAGTATAACCTCAAGTCTAGGATACCGTATTGAAGTCTCAGAAGTCCGTCGATTTCTCGATTCGTTATCAATTATTATTTATCATATACACCATACGGCATACAATCTATTATACTGCCCCCCGGCTGAAAATTGAAACGAACAGTCGTTTTTTGATATTATTTTGTCATTAGTTATTCTGTCATCAGTCCTGAGTCGTCACTTGTTGAACTAAATAATTAATATTGTTATCATGTCGAAAAAAGTACCTGGTGGCTATGAAAAGCGTAAAAAATGGAAGAACAAGAAAAAGTATCAAAATAAGTGGTTATTTATATTATTTTAAAAAATGAGATACATATTATCATGTGTAATAAAAAATGACCATATTATTCATAATAGTATAGTAAATATGTTTTTAATTATTTATTAGTCTAGATATAAATTGTGTGAGTAAGTGCATGCTTTTCGTATTACAAATTAATATGACCAAGGTCCACCAAGGGCCGGCTGGATTTTTTTGCCACGGGCAACCGCAGTTTTAGTTACGCCACTGGTTCACTGTTTAGTAATGTAACCACTTTACAATAATTACCATAACATCCGCGATCCACACTCTTAACTCTTAAGTACTCAACACACATACCTATTTCACAATATTTATTGAAACTTTGTCAAACTCACATAGATACCTATACGTCGATCATAAATCGCAGTTCTAATATTTATCTATTTTTTCAGACAAACTAAGTCATTACGATTATGGGACTTCTGGAAACTTGCTGCGTTACAATAGGTTAATGCCACCGGATTACGATTTGTCCAAAGTTACAGTACCCACATTTACTATACATTTAAAAGCTGACTATCTATCTACACCAACGGTATTTTTTTTAACAATAATTTTACAAAACATTTATTACAATAACAAAAAAATATTAAATGTGGTGTTTAAGGGGCAATATTTAGGCAATATGCAATTTCCCTGCTGCCGCCCATGGCTCTTGTGTTAGTAGTCAATATATTAGTGTGAGTGTGGTGGTATGCCGGTACCGGGCTATCTACACCGGTGTAACAGGTGATTTTTACCTCGGGATATCTTTTATTTTTAAGGTTATCCCGGTAAAAATAACCTGGAATATAATATTTACCAGCACATGGGGGTATAAATATCCTAGTTTATTTAGACCCCCGATAAATATTATGGAGGGTAAAAGTATCCTATTTTTATTGTACCCCCCTGTAAAAATATATTAGGTTCATTTTACCCCCTGTAGAGTTGTCCTAGGATAATTTCACTCTCGGGGGTAAAAATATTTGAGGGCATTAGAAACCTGCGACACCGGTACACATGTCAATGGCCTCGGTGACCAAAAATAAAAAGTGATTTTTTGTTCAAAACACGCTTTACAGGAAAAACTCTCATGCATCGGAGAGTTATCAGATTTGATAAATTGTTTGTGTTAGTTAGAGGATAATTTTCTACAGGGCGCATTGAACTTCGATTTTCAGTTTTGTTGCTTAAAACAAACACGATAAAAATAAAAAAAGCTTGTGAAAAATGGTCATATTCAAAATTCCAGCATATATTTTTGCTGAAATAGAGTTTTAAAAATCCAAGTGAAATGCGCCCTGGAAGAAGTGTTCTCCTTTAAAAAAATTATTTTAATTATTTTAAACTGCACAATAGTACTGTGAACTTTGAGCTCTCAAAGTTTCAACGTGTTCTTAATTTCTACCAAAAAATGCAATGAAAATTGAATGATATGCATTTTTAGTACCTCCTCTAATAAGTTTGGTTAGATCTACATAATGCAAAAAAAATTTTAAAAAAAATTAAAACATTGTAAAACCAATACATTCATCGCTCCGCTCAAAGTATAAATCAACATTTATGCTTATAATATTTTTATATTTGTCATATTCATCACATCATTTTAAACAATTAGAAATAAAATATTATTTTTTCAGGACGTAAAAAGGCTTATAAGTTCATTGCCAAACATTAAGGAAGTACGTTATATTGATCAAGAACAAGGTGGTCATCTGAGCTTATTACTAAGTCCAAATACAAGAGAACTCGTGAACTCATTTATAGCAACTAAATTGTTAGATTAAAGCTGATCTTACAGAATGTGTTTTGTTACGTCAATGTGATTTATTTTTAATTGTTAATTGTTAATTGTTAAGAAACAATAATATTATAAGAAACCTACAACGGTGTAATGTACATTGTGAATAAACCGTTTTATTTGTATTATAATATGATTGAATCCTTGCGCCTCAATTATTACGTTCTGTTTCCTATTTTTACCATAAAAATCACAAACGATTTCTCCCCAGACAAAATGTATACAACATAGTATACACGATGATATTTATGTGCATAATTATTAAGTATATGATGTACGCAACCTTAGAATTGGACAGTTTTTTATCCTATGTACTCACTCTAGAACAAATCAATGTACCACAATATTATGCTTCTGAATTTTAGGCTTGTAATTTAATACAATGCTAAAAATAAGTGATCACCGTTGGCCGCTTGGTTATGACAAAAACAAAAATAATGTATAAACATAAATGTTTGATCCATGCTTATCATGAATGTAATCATTCAAAGATACCGTTATTTTATTTAAACGAAATAAAAAAAACTTAAAAATACACAGGATTGTAATAAAATAAAAACCTTTGGCCGGAAAAAAGATTTACATTCTTAACAACTTAAAAAATAGCAACTACTATGAATTAACTTATAGAAAGATGACATATTTTTCTGCCCAAAACTTTGTATTAAAATCAGAAAACATATATAACATATATTATGTATATTAGAATATTAGATGCTGAGTAGAGCAATAAATTTATTGATTTTTCATTGATTCTTGTTTTATTTTTAAAAGAAAAAGTACTTCAATTTTTACTTGAATATATCTTCTGATAGAAAAGTTATTGGCGAATATAGTTCGTCATTTGCGGAGGGGGGGAAGTAAAATGGTGGGTGATCGGGAAACGATTTGCTGTACAGTATGTGTCAAGTCGTCTAGAAGGATCGCCGGAAAGGATGTGTCAAATTTTAATTTAATATACCTATACAAAACCATTGTATACGAAGAACGATTTTGAGCAAAGGTGGTCTGTCAGCCTATAATATTATTAAGTATATTTTATGATATTTTTGCTATTAAAGTAATTTATTTTACTAATAAAAAATAACAAAAAAAGCTCACTGAGCACCACTGGACTAGATTGACGAGAATTCCAAATGACTAAACCATATTCTAAAATAGAACGTACTAGAGCAAAATATATAATTTTTTCTAAGCAATTTGAATTTTTAAACTGTGCTTTAATACTACATATTATAAAAGCAAATCCAAGGAGAGCTATATTAGTTTATTACTCATCGTTCTTTGCATGATATCACAGTGCTTTTAGTATTTGTCGATGTGCCTATCGTGTTGATAACATTGTTTGTTCTTTGGCCAGAAATCATAAAAATTCAATACATCAATTCCTGATGAAATTTTTACACGTGTTACAAAAAAACTAAAAGTATACCTGTAGCGTGTTGACTTTTTTTTAAAATTTCTAATGCAATACAGGATATACCCAAATAAAGACAATATAGTAAATAACATAAAATCTATACAAAATACTCACAAAATAATTAAACTATAGTAGAGTAAAGTGTATAGATAATTATTAGCTACATTTAATCATTTTATATAAAGGTTGATAATTCGAATAATTGGTATTGCATATAGGGGAAGAAAACAAGTACATATTACGATGGGTATGAAAGGTTGAAACTTTAAATTTAATTTGTTTTAATAGTTCAGAAAAATCAATAAAATGTCTCAGAAAAGTTAAATTAGCTTCGAGCCTTCAGTGGTTAACGTATAAAGGCCAAGGGTGATACATAACCGGTGGAAAAATGGTTTCATATTCAAAATTGACCTCACAAAGGTACAATATAAGAATGTTATAGGAGTCATGAATATCAACTCATTACAGAAACTTCTTAAATAATATAATTAGATCAAACCAATTTCATAATATAACAAAAAAAACTTTGTGTAAGCAACTTAGGATTTTCAGTGTCACCAATTGGCTATTATTATACCTAGATATTATAGTTTGTATCAAGCCACGCAACAAAACACTTTTTAAGACACTTTTGAAAACTAGGGAATTTCTTATGTTTGACCCCTCCCCCCAAGAAAAACTCTTGGAATCTAAAATTTCCCAGTACCTACTTTTTTTAAAGTTAGATAAAACTAATAATCAAAAAACGTTAATTTCAACACAAAATCAGTTTTTGATAAAAATTGTTTTTCTTATTTTATTATAATTCAAAAACGAATAAACGTAGTACAAATAACGGTTTATCCGATGATACCAAAATATTTATTTTTAATAAGTACTAATAGACAATAGTAGTCTAAAAAAATACCAAGAAAATGAAACAATTGTATTGGTGTACCTGAATTGCCTATATAAAGCGCCGTGAAGCAATGTTATAATGATTTATTGAATAAATATAATATAATCAAATTATTATGATATTTAGCTGTGTGACACTCCGAGGAGTTAATCATATAAAATAAACTACAATTAATATAATATATTCTTTAGAAAATTAAGTATAAAATTATTATAAAATAATATAAAACAGATTTCATCCTTATAATAGCTCTATCAGGCAATACTGGAAAGCCTATCGTATTTTTCCACTTTCCCAAAACCTTAAAATAGGAATGCGAGAAAAAACTATAGCCCATAGTATATTTAGTTTATTAATTATTAACACTGTCGTTTTGTAATACATGTTTGAGATAGATATAGAGATTTGTTTTGAAGTACAAGTATTAAGTCAAATATTTTCAATATTCAAACTTTAGTCATGTTTGCATAATTATATTATATTATATTATATTATATTCGTTACATAAGACTTCAAAAAGCGTTTGATTCTGTCAATCATTGTAATCTCATCAAAATTCTTGAAAAACCTGGTTTCGGTGTTCCATTGTTAACCTGGTTTAAGTCTTACCTTGAAAAAAGGCATTGATAGGTTGAAGTCCTTGGTTTTAAATCAAATACATACTTAGCGTCGTCTGAAGTGATCCTAGGGAGTCACTCTTCTCCGCTTTTGTTTTCGCTTTTCGTCAATAACGTTTTAGTCATGTTCTTAACCATAGTCACTTATTGTGTTTTGCCGACAACATGAACATTTATATGCACATAAATAATCAAGACGACTGTGGTGAACTAACTGAGTGACATGGGCCGTTTTGTTGACTACTTCAACTTGTTAGAACTGTCTTGTAACATTTCCAAGTTTAAAGTTATGACGTCCAGCAGAAAACGATCCCCAATAGTTTACTCCTATAATCCGTACTACCACATGGAGGTAATTATTTTATTATTGATTATGTCCATTGACCTTGGATTTAAATTTAACATTTCCATGGTAAAGAGTTGAAAATTCTAAGGTTAATAATAAGACTGACTAAAGAATTTTCTTTAAAAACACATAAAGACGTGCCATAGTGAGACTCATTTTGGAGTACGGTTTACTAATTTGAGACTAGCATACTGCAAATGGTTGTGTTAAGCTTGAAAGAGTCCAACATAAATTTTTAAAGTATGTGAGTTTCATTTTAGGCATTCAGTGTACCCCTCGCGATTACACTACAGCCTCAAAGATTATTGACCTTAAATCTGTAGCTGACCGTAGACAGATGTGAGGTAAGACTTTTCTAACTGGTCTATTATCTAATGATATTTCTGCTCTTTTATTCCTTATAAAATTAAAAATTTGCAAATTTTCTACCTATGTCATTCCATTTTCCCCAATTCAAAAGTAATTATATGAAAAACGAACCTTTAAGACGTTTACTAAACCTCAAATGTATTTCCTCATTGTATTCGAAGAGCACCGCTTGTTAATTATTAAGAAATGAAGAAATAAATCTAATGAAATGATATACAAATACGTATTTTAGAATATATGAGAAGCGATGAATAAATTATTATTATTGATATTTATTAATGATGTGCGTTTTTTTTATTGTTCAATTCAAACTTTAATTGTGGTTTCTGGTAAAAAATTAGATTTGTTTGGTACATTATGTCAAAAGTAAATAATTCCGGGACTTAATAAATAATCAGGAAAAAATGAGCTCTGCTGTATAGTAGATTTTGAGTGTGCTTTGTCATTAATTAGTAGGTCACTGTAATGGACGTGTCAAATTTAAACTCAATGCATACGAAAAACGATTCTGACGGTACGTCAACCTACACTATTCAGAACATATATTTTTTTAATTTTCTATTTATATTGCTCTCATACGAATTTATTGTACCACCTGTATTACTAATGCAGTAGGGAAAATTAGAAAATTAACTTTTACCAAAAACATCGAATCTATAATTATATATAAACATTATACAATAAATGGTGTTATAAAGATTTCAGGTAACACTAAATATTTCCACCTGTTGTATTGAAATAAGATTATGAGTAATCTGATAAGTACTGAAATAGATACACATTTTATGAAATGTTCAGCGCGCAAAAGCAACACAAAATGTATTTTCTTTTAAATATATTAATATCAATTCATAGGTATCTATTTGGATTGACCAAGTATTAAGTCAATTCGAGTTAAATTAAAAATTTCTGGAACGAGAATCATCACTAAAATTTAAAAAAGAAAGGTAAGAAGGTTTTCAAAAATGTTTAATTTATCTTTATCATCAAATTTTAAATTTTCAAAGTAATTTTATTTATTCTTATTCAACTATATCAACATAATATATGATAATAAAATATATATAATAAGCCCTTCACTCCTTTTATGACAACAATGGGCGAATAGGCCCATCGGGAAATCGAGATTTTCCCGGTAGGCCCCCATCAATATTATACTCTGAGGCCCCAATTACAAAAAACTAAAAAAAAAAAATAATAATAATATAAAAGTAAATTTTTATAATACTGTCTGGCGCCCTGGCGGCTGTACAGTATTAATGAGTATGTGTAACATTTGAAAACTCCATTATGGCCTAGTGGCCTCTTAATTTTTAATTTGTTTTCCCAAGTATATTTCCAGGGAATTTTTATTTTTTAAATCCAAAGTACCAACTAGATTCTGTTTTCTATTAGAAACCATACTTAAAAATTAAAATCGGATCATATTTTCTACTTCCAAGAATGATGACTGCAGATGATAGACAAAAAAAAACATACACATTATAATTGTACAACCAATACGTACAATCAGACTCAAAAAACTGTTGGAACTTAAAGGTTAAATCGTAGTTGTGCGTTTGAATATTAAATGCATAAAAATTTCAAAATTTTTTTTTTAAATTAATTATTTACGTTAAATATTTGTTTTTGATTTTATCAAATAACGCATAAAAAGTGCATTATTATGATAGGTTCATGTTTTGGATATTAAAATTATAAATTCTATGCATTTTCAACTACAAAATAATTTGTACAATTTTGTGTAATTTTTGTAAAATACATTTCATACTATAAAATTTTTTTTATATAATCTTACCAGTAGGGCTTATAACTTCTAGCAATTTCATTTTTTTTAGAGTCCTTGGAGATGCATATAACGTGAGCTATAAATATATTTCAGAAAACTAAAAACTAAATACAAATTTTTACGTTACGTATTTTTGCATGTTTCAAAATGTATAAATGCTACTATAATTGTTTGTGTCGTATCAGTACCGTATCCTTCAAATCATTTGAGTACCATGACACAATAAACCAATAAACAATTCTGATGTAATATTAACTTTAATTTTTTTTTTAACTTCTGAACGATTAAATAATTTTTAATTAAACTTAATATTTTTTGCACATTTTAGTATTTTTAGTACATATTTAAGGGTCTTTATGATTGTTTTTAAAAGTATATTATTGAGCGTATAATAAACATTTTTTAGATCTTTAAATTATGAGCTTTGCTTATTAGTTATTGCTTATTATTGGCATTCAATATTGCTACGTTCGATACCTACCTAACTTATAAATACTTAACTCATATAATGTAGTCATATAAATACGTATTTTTCCTCAAAGTTGAAAATGCAAAACAAAAATCTACTCTGACTATTAGTTAAACGAAATAAAATAACCAATATATTCATCGCCCCTCTTGGAAAAAAAACAGGTTAGTAAATATATTTTTGTTTTTGAAATATCAACAGTTAAAATTCTCGTCCTATGCAAAACATTTGTTATATGTCTGCAATAATTGAATAAAATTTTGTTATTATCGATAAGATTTATTTACAAAAAAAAATTATGAAAAAACTCGAACTTGCAGTCTTTTTTTCCACATTAATACGTAGCAGATGATTCACCACGTTACAAAGAAAAATAAAAAAAATGTAATTTAAATAAAAAAATAATTAACATTCTTATTGAATTTTATATATTTCCACATAGTTTTAAATTGCTATAAAAATGAATAAAACACACAATTAAAAAAATAAATTGTAAAAATGTACTTCATTATGTGAGTACCTTTGTTTAGAATCGTTGGTTAGCAAATCAAACTCACGACCGTAAGACTTTAAATGTCAATGCTCGATGCTTTGCTGAATTGCTAATCACATGCTCAAATTACAAATTATCAAATAGTAAAAAATATTGTACGGATGAGATAGGTGTAGACTTTTAAAAAGGGACATTGGATATTAAATTACAAACGTATGTACTCATCCGTATAACTGAACCGTTTTGTAACTTTTCATGAGTTGATGTTTGAAAGGAATTTTACAAACACAAAAAATCATCGGCTCGATGAAAATATTAGCTACTGCAGGTTATCGAACTAATTCTGTTAATTTGGTATCTAGCGATGACAAAACTCCGATAAATAAATAAGGACATCCGCCCGTGTAGGTAATTAAATATATTTTTTCGGTCTTCGGTGTCCTTGATTTGAGCATTGTTTGACGTTTTATTTTTCCGTTGTCGTCGTGTTGTCTTATTAATGGATAGTAATATTATGTACGTACACACGGACTTTGGGCTACGCAGCTAAAGAGCTCATTCGATGATACGTCGTATTTTAACGTCGTCAGCATATTTCAATATTTATAACTGAAGATGGCATAATAGGTGCGCACGATCCTACATATGTAATTGGGAATGTCATTAAGTCGCAAACACGAAATTAATCATACCCGGGAAGTGACGGACCGCGGTCTCGGACTCGAGAGATGACAGTGTAAAAAAAAAATGAAAAAAATGAGCAATACCCACCCGTCCCGAGTTATCGTTGCCGTGCGTGTGATTTTGCGTATATTTATGCTCAGTGGTACGCACAAAGTGAATGGTACAGTAATTTAGCAAATAGGAAAAAAACCAGTATAAAGCAGAGTTGCAGTTGAAACGAACTTCGCAGTGTTGGGGTGGGACGTTTTCGAGACGGATTATAACATTTGCACCTATATAATAATATGTACGCGATTAAAATATAATATAATTTCCACCGCAAAGTACCGCGGGTACCTATCTACCTTTACTACTTGAAGTGAAAACTATTGAAATCGAACCTTTTATTTAGTCTTCAACAATGCGATCGTTCAAACTGGAAAGATGTCTGCTAACCGTCATCTTTCTGGCGACTGTTATTTTTTCCACCTGTGATTACGCCGCTTGCTTGGAGTCCGTAAGTACAACGATATTATATACTTATTTGTTTTTATAGAACACTGCTTTTTAAATATTTAATCATGCATGCATGTTTTTAATTACACGCTCTCCGTATAAATCGGTATAATCATTACATGTGCACACGACCAATGACTGCGTATTATTTAATTCTAGTTCATTTCACCTAAATTATAAGAAAACCTTAATGTACAACACAATTAATTAATATAATATGTATAATAGTATAGTATAGTGTAATATGGCATTACATGGCCATTGTCCACATGTCCAAAGGCTGCTTAATATTTGATTCTTGTTCATTTTGCCTAAAACATATAAAAAAACCTTGATGTACAGTGTACAGAACAATTTATCAGTAGGTATGTATTGTATTATAAAATTTCAAACTTATACTGTCTATGTAAGTACTAATTTATAATGTATTTTTCTTAAGAAAAATCATTAATATTATTTTAGGTATAATACCATTATAATGATTATTTCGTCTACGTCCCAGTGTAAACTTGATAGGTACCTAATTATTTTCCGACTTGATGCACGACATAACTCTGCATAGATTGAATCTTCACGACTTACGAGACACCTATGAAGTAAAAAAATAATCTGTAAAGAAAAACATTTTATTGTTATTTATTACACTGATATAATATTATATGCATTACTTTTTGAATATTTTTATTATTATTGGCTTGGACGTTATTGATAAATATATATAAGTAGACTGAATTATAACAAAGTGGTGCCCAGTGGAGTTCGATTTTTTTCCAGTTACAATAATTAGGATAGTTTGGTTGTTGAGGAAAATAGAAAATAATTAGTTAGTATTATTTCTCGGCAAAATAAAATCATATAGTAATTAATGGAATTACGAAGGTTCATTTATTGGAAAAATATCAATTATATGAACTTTATAAGCAACAAAAATAAAAGTATTTGATGAAAAAATATCCGATTTAAGAGCACAGGACCTTTGATTTTGGGGTAGTGGGTTCCATACTTCTGTTTAAGCTTAGCTCATACAAGAATTTAATAAAAAAATTGAATAATTCCACAAATAATTTTTATGACAGTCTGTGGTAAAAATTTTGACAAAATTGGATATTGAAAGTAAAATAACAATTTCTCATCAAACGATCAATGTTTTTTTTTTTATTCACAAATGGTAGAACTGTATAATAGTTCACTATTACACAAATTATTATTTTTCATACTGAATGAAATCGTGAATAGGTATCTATTATCTAAAATTGTATTATTTTTTAGTTTTAGTTTTTTAAGTGTCTGATAAACCATTTAAGGCTCGGTTGAAAAATTTGAAAATTGAATAAAAAGTCCCCCCGTAATTTGTTCTTATTGCAATTTAAGCTCATTAAAAATACAAGCATAGTCTTTTTTTCATAAGCATTTGAAGTTCAAATTTTGACAAAATCAAAAGTTTGACCAATGTTTGCAAATAAGTTTTGAACGTTTAACATTTAATACAACTATATAAGTTCCTCATAAGTTCACTTTATCTCGAGTTCCTGCCCCAGGTGGTGGGCCACTTTATTATAATCCAAAATACACAATAAACAATATAACAATATTTACCAGTAAGGTTTTAACTAATAGTTATATCATATTATAAAATATAAATAAAACAATAATGTTTGTAAAAAACTCCTTAACAGGAATACGCTACGACATAATATTATCATAATATGATGACAGACTTCTCCTAAAAGTCGAAACACGTTCATTTTTCCGTTGTTCTCTCCAAAAGATGGTTGTATTATGTAATGCTCATTATAATGTATCGGTATGATTATTGTGCTGATTCCATTTATTTCCATAATTTCAACTCACCATTTGTACGTACAATAGTTGCTAACCCAACACAACGCAACCATCGGATCATGTTATTTAATTAAAATACTATAAATGTCCATACAATCTATACCGAATCGGCTCTGAATGCAGTTTTAATTAACATAGTACGCTCTTTTATTCAAAGTCCAAGTGTAGTAGGTACGCTTCAATGCATATGGCCCACTAAATAGGTCACCCGTGTAAATGAATGACATTCGCCAAAGATAAAACTAAACAAGATATCATTTTAAATATTTCGCTACTTGAATTAATAATTTGCGTATACCTACAACTATTTGATACACATAATGTGTATTCCGCAGGTGACTGGAGTTTAATGCATTATAATAAATTATAATAAAATACCTTTTTTTTTCCTATTATGTTTTGTTTTAAATAGTCACAATTGTGTTGAATAATAATTCGATATAATGTTATTTTGTAACTTTGTATACTACCCGCGCATGTATTATTATCATAGCAATAAAACAATGAACGCGTTGATGTATTTTTTTATTTAATATATTTATCTCGTCCAGTCATTCAGAAAAATAATATCTATGTATAATACTTTTATTAAATAAAAATTAACATGGTGCATCGTATCAGGCACGCCCACAATAGCCAATAGGTACCGTAAACAAATACAATTTGTGCGACAACTGGCCCGTCTACTTACGTAGGTACGCGTTAGCTCCTATCGTTAAAACTCCAATGACCGTTTTGAAATAGTTTAATAATAATAAAATATTGTATTATTATTATTATAGTCGTACAGAATTAAGGAATTCGGTTATCCTCTGATGACGTACCAAGTGAAGACCGTTGACAAATATCAGTTGGGCATAGAACGAATACCGCACAGTAAACATCGTAGTAATCCACGTCCCGGCAAACCAGTCTTGTTGTTGCACGGTCTGTACTTATCGTCAGCAATATTCACCATAAACAACTCGTCGCTCAGTAAGTCCAAAACGCTAAAAACGACAAAAATAATAATACATTTATGTTGTCCGTTCGCTTGCGAAATGTGTCTAACGGTAAACGACAATACAACTTAACATGTGTAAGCATATTGATACATACAATTATCAAAAGTATGATGGATTGATTCGCAAACAAACTGCTTGTCGTGTACACGTATGGGTAAAACCCATCCAGTTCGTATTGGTACGTACTTGGCAACTGTACCGATTTCTCCCCCCCCAATATATTTTTATAAATATTATATAGTTTTCGAACCACTGGTTTTTTTTTTAAATCGTAACGGATGCCGACTGCCGGATGAACTGGACTGGTTATAAGAGAAGCGTATAATAAACTACCAGACTGGCGAGGTTATTGTACACTTTTTCGCTGATATTTACCGAAGTGGCTTATAATTCAACAATACCGATACACTATGACATCGACACCAACGACTAATGGGAAGTGTCTCACACATTCCAAGTTGGTGTCCGTATAAAAATGTCGGTTACTCGAATTTAATATTCAACAGTATGAAATTAATTTTCCTATAGGGGACTCTGATGAACAGTTTGGCAAAATATTAGATTTAATTCGTGTGATGTATTATCCGGGCAATTATTTTTTGTTTTTTGTTTTATGTTTTATCTCTTATGTACACATAAATTTAAAATTATTTATCCGATCCACTGTATAGTTATAATTATTATGTAGTATTATCAACAAAACATGATATTTATATTACAACGATGATAGTCTCTAAATTCACAGCACTTAAAATGTAATACAACTATAATCATAGTAAAATATTTAAATGAGTCGACTATAAACAGAAAATTTCCTTAATATTTAAGTTTGTTTATATTGTAAAATATAATTAAATTAATTATGTCGAAATATTCTATGAATATTAAGTTAATGACATAAAAAAATTTATCTGAATCAATACGTCAGTATAATCAATTATTTCTTTTATATTTTAGATAAGACGATTTTCTAAGATTAAAAACTTACTTTGTAAGAAAATGTTTAAATTATGCAATGCATTGTTCTATGTATATTTGAGAAATTTTCACTCATAAAACTTAATTTTTTTTATCTATTCACGTTTTGGAGCAGTAAACAGCTATAATACAGTTATTTCTTTAAATTAATTTTGTTTTTCTGTTGTAATTCAAAAATTAAGATTAAAAAGACTTGAAAATTACACCAACTATTTTAAAAACCATTTTCCAGACATTATAAATATTTCAAAACATTTTGACTTTTTTTCAGTTATTTTTCCAATTTATCTTCATACAATTTTTATCTCTCAGTTTAAGACCTTGAAAATGTTATACAAGGTTTCTCAGGAGTTTTTTTTATTTAAAAACACTACGTAGTCACAATTTTTTTTATAAGAGTATAAAATGTAAATTTTAAAATTTTCAGACAATTCTTATTAAAATATTTTCACATTTTTTCACCAATTCCATTTATATTGTAGCTTACGTGTAATGTACTTATTGAACACACTAATAAACATTGTAGATAACTTTAAATCAATTTTTTTTTTTAAAGCTTATAAAATTCTGATTTCGAAAAATTTAGGTATTAAAATCAAAATATTATAGTGATTTTTCCTTAAAAGATTTTGATTATTGAAGTGTTATCAAAATATTAATAGTATAGAGACTTGAATATTTTCATTTTTTTTAGATTATTTTTATAAATACAATCTCGACTATTTATCTAAATCATCACGCACACCTTTCTACGATACCTCGAATGTTAGAATAATAATAAATTCATCCCACCGTATTACAAAAAATAATAAGATACTGTTTAGAAATAGATGCCGTCTATCACACCGTCTCCACTCAGAACCGTTTTTGAATCAATGAAATGATATTTAATTGAATTCATTTTTAACCCATCCATTACACATAGTAGCCTACATTATGTTATTGCACGTCCTTACGTGTTTAATACTGCCCCATACTCAAATACGGATTAAAAGTCGAGTCTAGTAACATTATATTTTATTGTAGTTGACAACTTTAAAATCCATACATGGTATCATAATATGTTTTCTGTTAAATGCATTATGTATTATATTAACTACAATAAGTACTTAAAAAATAAATATATTTTTTTTGCCTAAATTAAACATCTACTACGCAATAGGTTATAATGTATCGTTATCTACACAAATTTACCCTAGAAAATCTAAAATTTGTCTTCATAGAATATACTGTTTACGTAACTGAATTGTATAAATACATTTCCAAAAAATTACATAAAGTTTCAACTTTTTTTCAAAACAACCACTCATCAGATAGGCAAACAATATAAAAATAGGTAAACCTTATACCTAATACACAATTCGTACGAAATCTATGTTGTCACTGAATTATCAGCACAATTCGAATATTCGATTTGTTGTTTCACTGGCATAGTTAGACTGTAACAATAACGTAAAATTGTTTGACTTAAGGTTTCGTCCTATCGGATGCCGGTTTTGACGTTTGGCTGTTCAACGCCAGAGGAGTTGGTCTTTCGAGAAAACTCAGTATTTATAAGAAGCCTGGATCGTCTCCAAAAATGAACAGCATATCATGGGACTTCAGGTATCAATAAACTATTATTAGGTGTATTATATTATTATAATTCATACATTACAGTTGTTGATAGTTAATTAATAACAATTCAAATAGCCAATAAAGAACACATTTTGATTGAGCACGAATATTGCACTTCAGTAAAATACATTTTAGTATTTTACATGTTCAATCTTATCATTTACATACGAGTTATTTGCATATAAAATGACGTAGTTGTTATGGTTTTAAATTCTGTTCGTAGTGATTAATGTATATATTTTGGTATTTGGCTATTGGTTTTTATAGTGTGTGTGGGTGTGTGTTTTTTTGACGTCATCCTTAGATGTAATAAAAATAACTTAAATCTTTAACTTTGAGGGTGATATCTGGTAGGAAATCGGTTTTAGTTGGTACTTGTTGGTCCTTAAAGTCATTCAGGTGCAGGGACGAACTGAGTATGCCCTTGTCATACAGGGACAAAAGGCCCTTCATTAATAAGCATCAAGGGGTCATAAAAATATGCCGAATTTTAAATCTTTATTACCCTCAAATACATTATTTTCTGAATTTGATAATAGAATACTATAATACTTTAAACCAAGGCCATAACTTTGGGGTCGTAGGTACAGCCTCCTCCCCCGACATTTGTAAAAGTCGAACAAGACTTTTTTGATTTTGTACGTACAATTAATAAATGTCCAGTATCCACGTAAAAGAAAATGTTGGATTCCCCCAGAAAAGTTTTTCAATTACGGCCGTCTTATACTATAAACCGATATGCCTTGACAATATATTATATTATTGATTTAATGTATTTGGAGACGACATTATTAATTATGATTTATGGTAGATAAGATATTATAAAATAATAAATATTACAACTGTAATCATGACTCACGGTTATAATGGTTATGCAGCAAGGTCAATATTCTTATCAAAAACTGTATCAAATACTGTATTGAATTAAAATCACCAAGTGCACATATTCGAAAATCGTTGAATTTAATAGAATGTCACCATTATTCAGGAGTAAAAAATTTAATTATAATAAGAATAATACATTTGGGAATAAGAATTTTATGAAAAAACATTCATTTACAAAATATGGACTAGGATATTTAAATTATAACAAATCACTGGCCAATTATTTTTTATTATGAACATTATTAAAACCAGGTGCTGTTTTAAGTTTAAATTTTGAAAAATATATTCTATGAATACACAACGAATTTATAAATGAGAGCTACCTACCTATGAATATCCGTTTAATTATTTATTATTTTTCGCGGACCACGAGGGCTCGCTGACGTGTTTGACAAAAAAACTAATACCTATGTCTCCTCTGCATTTTTTGATTGTCCGGGCTTTTATAATTGTGGGTCAGTAGGGAATCATAGGCCCAGTTCACACATGTTTGGACGTTATTCCAAGTATTTTTCAAAATATTTTTGAAAAAAAATATGAGAAAAAGGGAATTATTATTATGTAAAACCAGTTTTCGACAGTGACCTAGTACAATAATGACGCGCTAGGTTCACCCAATACTAAACTAGATGTATGCGACAAAAAGAGTACTCCACTTTTTATTTAAAAATGATTTTTCTAAGTAAAAACCATTTACCTTATTAAAGTTATGGTTAACAGGATTTTTGTTTTCATGTTTTCAAGTTTTCAATTGCAAATTATTATTTTTTCAGTAGGTATACCCAATAGGTATTTTTAATTTTAAGAATTTTTTTCATAGAAATAGATATTAAAGCTGCTTGTTTTCACATTGTAATTTATAAAAACCGGTTATACGTTTATACATAAAATGATTAATGGCTAAATAAATCCATAAAAAAATTTAAAAATATCTAAGAAAAATAACGGAAATAATAACCAAAAGTTAAAATGTTAAAATAAAAGATTAAAAATAAATGTTGTTGTAGTATGTTTTCTATAAAAAAAAAAAACAAATTTAATACTATTGTAATCTTGTAGAGTAATAAAATGTGAAGAATTTTAATGACTTTTTGGTTAATATAAGTTAAATAAAAGTTGTTTCAGCAGAAAAATCACTTAAAGTCGATTCCCGTGACCGTAAATACTGTTTGAGTAATTAGAGACCTTGTTGAAACATTATCATTACCTACTTAATAATTAAGACAAATATTATTACTATTTCGTATTTATTTTTGTAAACTTGTTTCCGCTAACGGTTATGAACAAAATAAGTCTAAATCAAAAAAATTATAATTTTTTGCCCAACCAACTCCTAATTAATAATTATTATGTATGTAAATTGTATGATAAGCAAAAAATAACAAAGATTGGATATCCTAATTTCAAAGGTATAATTACTATAATTATTATAGGTTGAGTAATGTGTAAGAATTTGAAATATAATATTATGATTGTGTCCCGTGTAAAAAATAAGTGGTCGCATCGTCCAAAATTCTAAAATCAATACAGTCTTTATTACATTATTTTTGTTGTCTTTTTTCAGTTTTCAAGAAATGGGTGTGTATGATATGACTACTACCATTGATTTCATTTTAAAAAATACCGGATATTCTAAATTGGACGTGGTGGGCTACTCCCTTGGGACAACAATATCACTGGTATGTCTAACCGATAGACCAGAATACAATTCCAAAATCAACAAACTTGTACTAATGGCTCCAACGTCCAGGCTTAAATCATCGGGCATGCCACTAAACATGTTAAAACAATATTCTGGTTTCATAAGAGTAAGTATTAATATTTTGCTGGTATAATAGTTGCTCCACGTTTTGATTTCTGCGGAGTTCAAGGGTGTCCTTCCTTGCACAGAAGTTGCATGCAAATATAAATTTCATGTATCCAAAATTAACAAAACAAAATTAATACAATAATTATACGTTTTAGGGTTTCTTAGATGGAGTTAATTTCTTTCCGATTACTCATGATCCTGATACCACGTATCGACTATTGAGACGTTTGTGTACGATTGATTTCGCCTTTAAATATTGCAGACAATTTATTGATTTCTCTCAAGGAATCAATTTACCGATTAATAATGTAAGCAATATTAAAACGAAAACGAGTAAAGTACATTATTTATTATGTTTAGAGTTCTGTAAAGCCATAACATTAATATTTTAATATTTTTGATATACCAATGACTAAGTAATGATCAACGATACAAAACATTAAAGGAAATCGTTTTTACAAACATATAATTGAAATATTTATTTTATATAATTACATGGTTTTTGTATTACATATTTGATATTTACATAAATGAAACTATATATGAATTTAATAAATATTGAGTAAGAAGGGGATCGATTATAAGTACCCAATATTATGATTTTCAGGTTTATTCTTCTTGTTTTTATTTATATATTATTATAAGTTGCAAATTTAATGCAAATACAAAATGAATATAGCGATACATCCCACATTTCGCTTCTCAATATAAGTTACCAAAACATCATAATCATAATGTATTAAATCCAAAAATTGTTTATAATGTGTATATTATTATAATCCACTTTGGAATAGAATACCCAAAATAGATTGATATATTTGTTAATTGGTACCTACTTGTAGGTTAACTTAATTATTTTATACAAGGTTATTTATTTAATACACAACAATCATTATTATACTTACACACTAGTCTTTCGTTGTGGTTTAGTAAAATTAAAATAAATATTTGATAAAATAAGACAAACTAACTACAAGACAACATTTTTGAAACTTTTAGATGCCCAATTATTTTTACTTTTCATCACTATTCTTAGATCTAGTATTTTTTTGTGTACGGCAACTCGTTTTAGTTTTAGATTTATTTATTGTCTTTTATATAAGCATTTGAGTTGATTGTGAGCTGAGTAATAAGAAGGTACACTAAACAATTTTGAGAGATATTTTAGATTCTACACTTTATTTTACTATTTAAATATGAAATAGTTACCTACCTATGTAGGAGGCGAAATTAGTTAAATTGATACTTATTTTTTATACACAAAGATTTTCGAAAAATACTCTGTTTTAAAATATACAATTTTCTGTAGTACCTACGAGAGGCCGTTTTAAAATAATTAAGATCTTAAAAAGAGTCTATCTAACTGTATTAATATGTTAACTTTATTAACTACCCATATGTTTATTTTGCAAAATGTATTGTTATTATGGTAGGAACTTAAAATTAAGCATGTCATCTTTTTTTTCAAAAATCAATCATGACAGTTGGTTTTTAACGATAAAAAGCCTTATAAGTACTTTATACATAATATTTATGTAGTGTGTAGAAATTGCAATAGACATATTTTAAGATGTCCTCAATTTTAAAAGTAGTTTTAAGATAATTTTAAGATAACTATGATTAAAATTGTTTTGTTTATAATATAGGACACAATTTTAGACATCATCTCCGAATTTCCACAGCCAATGTCTTCTAAGACCTTAAGACACATGTTGCAATTATTGACAACTGGTAAGTAAGAACTATAATAACATCACACGACTTGATTTCACTAGCGCCAAAAAATATTTATCAATACATCATCGTTCATTATCATGTTATAAGTTATAACTCACACTTACTTATAATTATATATTATCATATCAGTATTAGTAGGTATATCGTATATGACTAGCATAATATACAATATACTGTTCGATATATTATCGGTACTATAACTTTTCGGTTCATTAACGACTTTATGACGTCTTAGAGCCCTATGTTCTTCGTGGGTATTATTTATTATTTATAAAGAAAATAATTTATTGCAGTACATCAACATCATCTTGCATGTTTAAAGTCCATATTAAAATATAAACTATTTCTTAAGCCATTATATCAGTCTAAAATCACGGTATTTAATATAGAACAAATTGTTATCAATTTTGATGATAAAATACTTACACAAAATATACATGCGATTTTTAGATTTAATATACCTATATTTATTTTATTTACCATTCAGGAAGATTTTGCCATTATGACTATGGCCCTTCTGGGAACTTGTTACACTACAAAACAAAAACGGCACCGGATTACGATCTGTCCAGGATTACTGCTCCTACATATGTTATATATTCCAAAGAGGATACTCTAGTTCGTCCAGTGGTAATTATTACGCTTTTATAATTATTTTACAGCTTAAGATCAAAAATGGTTATAATATAGCAGCCAGCTCTTGAAAGTTATTTTGTTGTTAGTTGTGTATGACAATGGTATAATTGTATATTGATTTTAGTAAAGAATTTTAGTTTTTGATTTTTTCCCTAGATATTTTGTATCCAAATTTTTTTCAACTATTATTGATTTTCATTATCTGTAATTATAATTTGTTCTGCTTTGTTTTAACATTTTTATAATAATTTTTCTTTTTAAAACATGTAATATTGATATCGGTATTTAGTTGTTTTAAACCAGTGTTATCAAGTTAGTAACTAATTTTAAAATTATACTTCAGAATTAATGAAAGATTAAGGAAAATCGTAGGACAGTGAGAGAAATAGATCATTTGAAATATCTAGAATAATTTTAAAAATCCGAGATAAATAAAAATTATTCTTTAAATAATTTTTTGATAATTGATTAAAATCTATATTTTAATCACTACTATTTAGGTACTCGACGAGAAATGTAAGGATAGAAAATGATTACAATTTGAATTAAATGTATTATAATAATATTAAAATAATTAAATATGTAAGAATGTATTAATCATTCATTTTTTTAACATATTAATTTTATTTTTAGGATGTTGAATGGCTCATAACTCAGTTACCAAATATTAAGGATGTACACTACATTGACAAAATACCATTTGGTCATTTAAGTTTTTCATTAAGTCCAATTATGAAGGAAGTCGTGAATATGTATATAACAAATAAATTATTAGATACCTAATAGTATATAATTACAAAAATCAAATAATTAATGATGTATAAAGTGCACTTACTGTAAGCCTACCGAGTAAGCCTACCGACCTAACTTTATTTTAAATAACTTTTTTAGATTTGCATAAAATTGCAAATTTATTATTTACATTGATTGATTGGTGTTGTGAATGATTGTCTATTTTAATTATACATACTTAATATTGTCATTACTATAATTTGCATGCAAATAAAGATGTTATAACTTTTTATAAGTCATACTTAACACCTTTATTATTGTATGTAAAAAATATTATTATTACATCGTTAAAAAATAACATAACTTAGTGATTATTTGGCATTGATGATTCCTACTTATTTGAATGAGTAATGTCTACGATTAATTACTATGGCTATGTATAATTATCACTGATTATATTGTACACAAGTTAATTTTTTCGTAAATATTTTATTTAAATCAACAATAAATTGTAGAACTTTATATTAGAACTTTAATTTTAAGAACGCATATTGTTTAGAAATTTAAATATTAAAATTTAAAAAATTCAAATGTTCGTAATCATGAAAATGGCACCTAAACATTAAGCTAAGAGCTTAAAATGTTCTTTAATATTTTGCCTATGGTTTTATATTCCAAACATCCTAATAGTTAATCATAGTTGTATATACCTATATTTGTATTTGTAGAGTTAGTGTGAAATTGGATATCAACTTTTCTCGTTGCATATGTAAATTCTAAAAAATAGTAAATAATCTACTAAAGCTGTATGACAATTAAAACTACGTAGATTTATAGTTAATAAATATTTTTGTTATGTTACATATTTTTTGTATTATTATTAAGTACTTCCTAGTATAAAAATAGTTCTATCCTTAATATAAACATTTTAAAAACTGATAAACTTCGTTCAAATTTTGAATTAGATACTTCGATATTTTCGAAAAAAATATTCACTAAATAATTGATATTAAAAAAGTGGGATTCTCATTTTTAAAATAGAAGTTTATATCACCGCAAGAAACAATCCTCGAATAGTACAAAAATATTCAAGAATTTGAAAAGGAAGTCTTGAAGAAAGTATATTTAAAAATTCCAAAGGTCAAAATTTGAATAATTTCATTAGAATATGAAAAAAATGGGGTGAGAATGTTTGGTGAATCATCCTGTTTATACAATTTACAATAGATAATGTTATATCCTAGGTATTAACCATTAGGTATATGTTCATCTTCCCTAACACAATAAATCTGATAGGTATATACGCCGTGAACCATGGCAATAAAGAAATTAGCAAATGCACCCGCTTTTAACATAATACTTAAAAAAATATTCTCGGTGACCATTAATAACCGGTAGACAGCATTTCAATCTTCATACCGACACTCAATTAACGTTTTTGCCCTTGAACATCGATGAGATCCTATAAAAAAATTAACGATTTCCGATTAATACCTAAATATTTTCAATAACATTGCCTGGATTGTCTTAGAGCATAAGTATGCACGTTGTATATAAATATTATAATCGGATGTACATTGTTCACTCTGTATATAATATATTAAGTATTATATAAGCTCTTCTCATATAAGTACAAAACATAAATATTTGTTGAGATTCATTTTTTTTCTCATTCAATACTTTTTTTAATAATAGTAATAATAATAAGTAATAACCATGCTTCATTTATTTAACATATTATGCAAGCTCCTGTTAATAATTACTACACTAATAGGTCACATGAAATGCATTGCGCCGTTGAATACCGTAAGTATTTACCTACTTACCTACATAACATACCGAACTTAGCACATTATTATAATTACCTAACACAACAATTATTAAAAGTGTATTCATTTCTGTTGGTGTTTCATTATTTTTTTCTTATACAAAACGCGTATGCGATGTTATTTGATTTTAATCGACTAACATAATATTATTAGGAAGAATCGATTATCCAATTGGGGTATCCTCTGGAAAAATACAAGCTCCAAACTCTGGATAAGTTTACACTAGGCTTGGAACGGATACCTTATAGAAAAAACGGTGACCGGACCATTGGCAAGCCTATCTTGTTGATGCACGGTTTGTTCCTGAGCTCCTTTGTATTCTCGAATACGAATAAATCGTTGAGTAAGTCATATTAATGTATATTATATAAATATAGGGAGGGTGACATAATATTTTTTCACGGTTTTATGATACATAATATTAGTAGAATATTAAATTGTATCGTATAATTAGTACAATATTATTAGATTGTATTACTATAGTAATTAATAATCTATATAAATAAATTTATAATTATAATTATAATCAATTATTAAAATTAAAAATGTTACACTGCTGTCCATAGTTAATGTTATTGGAACGGTATAATATGGCTTGTAAAATATTAACACTAAGTAGTGAGAAAGTAGAATATTATTATGTGGCTATAGCCATAATTATTATTAACCTGCATTAATTACCATTTTTTTTCAATAGTATCTTGTAATCAGTGGGTCACCTATTTATTATAGGTACGCATAAGACATGCGTGATAATTCTTTCAAATAATACATTACAAATATTGTAATTATTAACTATTTCAATGCCAACACGTATAAAACGTATGCTGATTGCTAATTATAACTTGATAATAATACTTGCTATACGTTAATAATGTTTTTACGAAATCTACTCAAACACAGGCTATTCACTATCTGAGGCTGGATACGATGTATGGTTGTTCAATGCCAGAGGAACGGGCTTGTCCAGAACATACAGTATTTACTCGAAACCGGGAACTGCACCAAGAATGAACAAGATGTCATGGGACTTTAGGTATATGATCTTAATGAGATTGTTTACAAATGTGAAATTTGTCATCTGGAATTTGTGATCAATAAAATGCATAGGTTTTCAGTAGTTATTTGACCTGTCTTATTCGAAAAACAATTGTCGGAATACCTAAATAAAGTAAAATTTTTTCAATTAATATTTTTTAAATGATTCCTTGCATACGCCATTTACCGTACAGTTCAAAGCTATAATAATATAATTTCAAAATCAAATAACATCAATATTAACTGTCAGTTTTTAAATTCGAGTTCATTTGCGTTTATAGTATTTTGAACTAATCTAACTAATACCTATTTATTTTACTCCCGATATTTTTACTATCCATATATGTATTTTAAAAAACTTTGTTTTCAATAAGACGTTGCGGCATTTTTTTTCCTTACATACTTGAACGATTTAAAGCTGGAATTAACATCCGATGGACAAAATTGTCACCGATAGTAAAACAGACATGGGCAATCACTTCCACATAAAGACTTATCATGACGTACCTCGCTTAACTACCGCTTACTAGTATGTCACTGAATTTTTTTCTATATATTTCTAGTTTCCACGAAATAGGCGTCTACGACTTCCCGGCCGTCGTAGACTTCGTCCTGAACAAAACAGGACGTGCCAAATTAGACATCGTGGCCTACTCGTTGGGCGCAACCATTGCACTTGTCGGGCTGTCGGAGAAGCCCTCGTACAACAGCAAGATCGACAAACTAGTGTTGATGGCTCCGACGACCAGAATGGTATCGCACGGATTTCCGGTCTCTGCGTTTTACCGCGGTTCCTTGTTGTTCAAAGTAACTACAAATACTACCTATAGTATAATATAATTATAATCTAAAAAAATTCAATGTAAATCATCAATCCGTATCCTCGCTGATTATTTTATAAATTATTCTACATGGAAATATAGTAAGTAACTAATTATATAGATTCCACAAAAATAGTCAAATTATAATTATAAATATAATAGTAAAATTTATTTTATACTGCGGACAACAGGAAAAATTAACATCTAGGGTTTAGGGGAGGAGGGGGGATGAACTTACGAAATTGCCATCAATTATGCCTTAGTGCGATGACTTACTACATGCACGTAAGAGGGTCAGAATAAATCATTGCCTTTAATAGTACTGTCATTGAATAATAATTATATAGGTATATTACTTTTATTCTTTCCTCCGATTTGTGGGAGACTAGATAATTATAGTAAATTAGTCTTCACTATTAGACTTCATCACTTGGCACTCGGCCATGTATTATTAAGATACCATAAAATTTAATTCAACGTACATAACAACTCGTTATAGGCGTTAAATAATTAGATATACCTACATATTTTTAATTAGGTATCTAAAACTATTATCGAATGTGTAACAACAATACAGGAATCACATGATGGCATTATAACAAATGTTACTTCTTTAATTAATTAGAAACATCTAACTCAGAGTAAATAATCAAAAAAAAAAAATAATATTTATGATCAATGAGTTACATAAATATTTTGTAAACACAATTTTTTAGTACACAATGAAGGAACAAAACTTTTTCCCAATTGCTCAAGATCCGGATGCTGCACATCGTTATTTGAGATGGTTGTGTACATATAGGATTCTCTATCCATTTTGTTCACTCTACATAGACACTGCACAAGGCTCTATACTTACTTACAACAGAGTAAGTTACATAGTTTATAATAATTATTAAATAGACACACAGAAACGAAAGGGAAAAAAGAATGGTATCGAGTATGATATTCGTATCCAATGATATTGTACACAATTTGATGTGTTGTTTAACTCTGCATTCTATTCAAGTTTGTTCATAAAATAAAAATTATTCTAACTACTAATTGCTGAATATCAGAATATGAATACAGTTAAACTATGTATAGGTACAAGAAACTATAATTTGTTTTTCCCTGTTCCAGCTCCGATTTATATGTACATATAATATAATATAATATATTAACTTTTTTCAATATTTACCTAAGTACTATATTATAATTAATTCATCATGAAATTGTTATTTACGCATTAGGATATGGTGATCAGTACTTTAACAGATTTCCCACAACCGGTATCTAAAAAAATGTTATTTCATTGGGTTCAATTAATGTCATCAAGTAAGTTGAAATTTAGTATTAAGCTTCCATAACATTATTTGTTAGAAAGGTATTTATCCATTTGAAGTTTAAAGTTTAAACAGCCAAAAATCAGTATTTCTGTGATAATACATTTTAAGAAATATTTATTATTCAACAGACTGATGATAAAAAATTAACTAAGATTTTACAATAATGTTTAAAAGTTAATTTACTCTTTTTTAATTAGAAAATAAATTAAATAAAACATAAATATTTATTGATTTAGTTTTATTCAAATTTGTGTGTTAATTATGATTTGTTGCAACATACCTGTACTATACATTTATGATACTTAGTTACATTTTATAATTATAGAAAGATTTTGTAAATATGACTATGGTGTGAGTGGAAATATGCGATATTACAACATGAAGTCACCGCCAGATTATAATTTGTCCAAAGTTACTACTTCGGTATACATTTTACACTCAAAAAATGACCATTTATCTGCAGTAAAGGTATTTTTTTATTTTAAACATAATGCTATATTTGTGAAACAAAAGCATTTTATTAAGATATAACCTAATTAACCGACTATTTCATTTTCATAAACTGTATAATGTAGATATATTAAGAAATTAGATTAATTAATCTTAAACCGATCAGCTATTTCAAAATATTCAATTATTTTAATAATTATGAAATATACATTTTTAACTTATTTCACCCCTTCATTACTGAAATGTTAACAAAAACACAATAAACTAATTTAAGTTAAGCGTATAAAAACTAAAAAAAAAATGTATAAATAAACACATTTTAAATATATTGGAAGTATAATTATATTAAATTTTAATACATTATAAAAGCGAATACAAAATATTGGACATGGACC